GGTTCCCCAGTAATACCGTTTTTGCCTCTTTTTGAGCTCCCTTATCAAAGCCGAAAAGTAGGAAACATGGTGCCCTCATTACTAAAGGGCTACCGGGGAACCTAAGAGATGGTTTTGAGTTTCATTAACAAGTGACATCAAGGGGTTTATGACGCGACACAGTAACTTAGTAAGGTAGAAGCCAGAAAGTTGGAATATGATTCTCCTAGCCCTTCTATGGTAAATTATAGGGTATCCTACCATGAAACCATATTCCAACTTTCTGGAGTTCCTTATAGCCTAAGTAAGTAAGGATGCTTCTCAATCGCATTCTTTAGGGATGCTGCTCCTTCGGGTTCCTTAGTAGAGATATACGATGATCTGCCACAAATTTCTATGCTAAGGAGGTGCGAGAGCGCCACTATATCCTGGGTTTAGGGTTCAGATTATGAACCCCAATATGGGATTCATAAGGATCCTACCACCATTTTTTTGAAAAGTAGGTTTGGTTGGGTCAGGTTGGTTGACCGGGTTCCTCCGTGGTCCGGAAGTCTCGGTTTCCGTGTCGCAACATGGCTGCTCACCTGAACTATGCGCAGGTATGTGTGTATGGTTTAGGGTATGTATGTATGTATGTATGCAGGTATGTATGTATTGATGTTCGATCATGTATGTATGACTATGTACTCTACACGTCTGCATTAGTTGAGCCTGCTGTGGTGCATCTGGCAACTTAGGTGTCGAACCACAGCTCCCAGACATGTTAGTACCATCGGCGCTTGTGGTGTTGGCTGCCTGCCTCACTCGAGCTGAGTATATACAGAAGTGAGGCATATTTATGAGCTTTGCAACCTTGAAACATCAGCTGTGTCTGCTGAATTCTGCAGGTATGCCGGCGGCGAGTGCTGGCTCAATGGACACATATTCGACTCGCCACCTGCCATCGCAACGAAAACTACTATAGGGGCCTTAATAGTTGCCTATACTATTTTTTTTTTTTTTTTTTGGGGGGGGGGGTCCTCAGTGTATTTATAGTATAATGGGCACCAAAACCCTATTCTAATTATTGAGGCCCCTATATTAGGCAATGGTGCTTAACCTCGAGCCTGAAACCCTAGACCCAACTAGCAAAACCTACCAAAGCCCTGAACCATAAACATGTAAGCCCTGTAAGCCCTAAATCCTAAATTTTCCAAACCCTTAACCCCGAAACCTTAATCCTAAACCCTTAACCCTTAAACCCTTAAGCCCTAAACCCTTAAACCCCGAAGCCCTAAAACCCTGAACCTCAAGGGTTCAACGAGTAACCTTTTTCAGAAAGGTTTTTCCCTAAGCCCCACACCCTTATGAAAAGGGTTACGGTTGGTTCAGCGTTTGGAATGGCCTGAGAAGCCACACTTGGCGGTTCATGGTTAGTTAGAAGTAGGATGATTGTAGCTATAATCCATAGTAACGCACGTATAACCCCACTTATAATCTTAGATCCCTAATACCCAACCTTTAATAAGCACTTTGGGTTCTTATAGTTAAGTAGGAATCGGACAGTTCAACTTTTTTTTCTTTGGCTTATTGGGGGAGTAAGAACTGTCCACGAACCTCCAAGCAGACTTCAGAGGCTGATGGTGGATCCCCGGCCGATGCTGGCAACTTGGCTGCCGCAAAGCCCGCTATTATTCTGCAGAGTTTGAGAACCCTAAACCCCTAAACCCTAAACCCCTAAACCCTAAACCCTAAACCCCTAAACCCTAAACCCCAAACCCTAAACCCCTAAACCCTAAACCCTAAACCCCTAAACCCTAAACCCTAAACCCCTAAACCCTAAACCCTAAACCCTGAGGTCCAGGTAGGGTGTCCAGGGTTTCGGGTTTCATGCTGCCGGGCTTTACAGAGTCATTGCGCAGGCTTTCGTATTCAATTATAGGATCCTTAAGGGGGGGTGGTTCAAGGGGGGAGGGTACTAGGGAGCTTTGGGGAACCTTAGGGAAGCTTAGGGAGTATTGGGGAATAATGGGGATTACTAGGTTACCTACCCCCCTTGGACCACCCCCCCTTAAGGACATCCTAATTCAAGTTCAGGTCTGGCGGGAATCACTGTTCCCAAGTATTTCCAGGACTTCTGATGGCTGCAGCCCAAAGCTCAAACTGAAACCCGAAACCCAACCCTAAGCCCTTTAAAAGAAAACCCTGAACCTTAAACCCCACACCCTAAACCATGAAACCCAAACCCTAAACCTTACTCAAAACCCAAAGCCCAAGCCCATAAGCCATAAACCCTGAATTCCTCGCATCATCCACACGCCTCGTTTTTCACCAACCTTCCGAAGTCTCTGAATCCTGAAACCTAAATACTGCAGGGGTTGTAAAACAAAAAGAGGGGGTTTTGGCGGACATTATAATACACATATTTACAAGGAAGGCTCAGGAATAGTCTGGGTAAGTATTTCGGCTTCTGTAGTTGGGGTTTCGGTTTCAGGGTTCAGGGTTGGTTTAGGGTTTAGGGTTTAGGGTTCTGTAGTTGGGGTTTCGGGTTTAGGGTTTAGGGTTGGTTTAGGGTTTAGGGTTTAGGGTTTAGGGTTCTGTAGTTGGGGTTTCGGGTTTAGGGTTTAGGGTTTAGGGTTCTGTAGTTGGGGTTTAGGGTTTAGGGGATGGAACACGAGGCTGATCGGGGCACCCACCAGGGCTACCATGGGTGTTTTTTCTCCACGCGGGTTTGCGGTGATATTCTAGTATAGTAGAAGCCAGAAAGTTGGAATATCATTATCGTAACCCCTTTAAGGTAAATTATAGGGGATCCTACCATTAATCCATATTCCAACTTTCTGGAGTTCCCTGTATAGTAGTTATAAAGGGACTATGTGAAGGTTTAGTTTAGCCTCCTCATTATGTGTGGTTCCATGGTAGTTCAAGACGGTTTAGGGAATACGGCTTAAGGTTCGCGCGCTAAACTTGGGACCTTGCGGCACTGAGCCCACGCGAGACTTAGGTAGTCGTATGGTAAATAAGTACTCCAATGAGGGCTGCGCTTGGTGTTAAGTGTAGATACCTCAGTTATAATCCCAGATACCAGCGGTATAGAGTTCAGTGGTTGTGCGGTTTTAGCTAAGGACGAGCGAGTGCCGCCCGAGGAGCCGCTCGCCCGGATGCATTGAATGTTGTGAGCAGGATGCATGATTAAGGGCTACTGCAAGGGCTTCAATCAGGGTTCTGCTAAGCGACACTAGGACTAATACAGGGCTTCGAACAATCAATAATTATTCAGGCCTCTACATTTGGATTTCGGGCTTGGCGTTCGGGGTTGTGGGTTTGGAGTGGGTCGGGAGTTTGGGCTCGTTTAGGCCGGTTTAGTTTAGGCATTCTTCCCCCATCCCACATCAAGAGCGCTTCTCGCCCCTCCTCTATGCGGTCGTTTCTTTGGACTGTGGGTCTTGAGTTTGGAAGGTGCTTTGCTACCTAACGCCATGCTCCGCATGAGACGTTCAGCCGACCCTGAACCCCAATCTTCAAAGCCTCAGCAATGAATACCAGCGGAGGGGGGGTCGTGCTTCGGCAGCGGGTGTTATGCAAAAGGTTCTGGTTGTGAAGAAGGAAAAGCTCTCAAGCCCCTATCAAGAGGGCTTCGAGACCCTTGTTCCATTCTTCCAGTCTTTTGCTCTCTGACATAGCTAGCACTTGGCTGGCGAGGTGGCCCACTCCATTTTCAGATGTCAGGCCTCCTTCTTCGAGATCAGTGCTGCGATCAGACAGTGAACGCAGAATCGCAAGGCCCTGACGGTAGGAACCCTTCCACGGACAAGCTGCGACGATCAGACACGGAACGCAGAATCTCGGGTTTAGGGTTTCGGGTTTAGGGTTTAGGGTTTGGGGTTTAGGGTTTAGGGTTAGTTAGGAACCCCATAACATCCAAATCGCGAGTGACTCCGGCACTTTGACCGCCGAAGAACCGAGGAAGAGGCTCATGCTGAAGGCCCACTTGGCAGCGGCAAGACGCACGGAAGACATCACCATCGCGCCCGAGAAATGGGGGTTTAGGGTTTAGGGGTTTAGGATTTCGGGGTTTAGCGGGTTTAGGGTTTAGTGATTTAGGGGGTTAGGGCTTGCCGGGTTTATGGCGTTGATGTTTTCAGGTTGGGAAGAAGCCTGCGCGGTCGTAAAGAAAAACCAGTGTCATAGCGACTGTGTGTGTGCGCCCAGATGCAATCTTTGCCTGTGAGGCCATCTTCGCACTTTCTCCCCATAGCTTTCGCTGGCTTAGACGAAGTTAACCCCGCCGCACTGTTAGGGCTGGTTACTTTTGCCGCGGTGCCCCTGATGGTTGTTTCGGTTGGTTGTGTTTTTTTTGCTGCTCTGCCATGAAAGCCGGCTTGAACTTCTGAGCCACAGTGTGCTGATTCCAGACCCCAAGCCCTAGATACTCCTTTGAAGCGTTCACGATCCTCATGCCTTTTCGGTCAGAGATAGACGCCAATCCACAGAACAACACCTTCTCAGAAAACGTTCCAACCAGAACAATGGCACGCTTGAATTATGAAACCCCACAAGAACCCGCTAAACCCGACCTAAAACAAAACCCCCCAAGTAGGTAAAATAATAGCCCAATACCTATAAAAGGCCATTATTCTACATACTTTAGGGGTCCGGGTAAACCCTAAAGCCTAAACCCCTTGCATAAACGTGCGAAGGAGCTCTGAACCGTCAACCGCAAGCCTCTCAAAAGCCCCCATGCCCTTGGATTAAGTTTTGCATCTTGAGAAACCCTTGAACCCTGAAAACCAGACCCTCAAACTAAGCACCTAAAGCCCTAGTCGCGATCATATAGGGGCCTTAATAACTAGAGCAGGGTTTGGGGGTTTGGGGATAGGTAGGGTCTCTTGTCTGTAAGCATAGGGACCAACGGAAACGTACACACTGTTTCGTTTCCCTTATAAAAAGGATCGTACTAGCTAGGGTATTATATTAGGGTCCCCTATTTTCGGAAACTCCCATATGGCCCTGAAAAACTGCATCCCTCGACTGCCGTTTCGATGCGAGCGCGGCTCCTTGCGCTGCTTCTCACCGCACTTCCATTGTGGGCTGAGGATGCTTCTTGGTCTAGCGGTTACTACAGTGGCTTAAATACTTACTTATACTAGTTCGGGGGTTCCGCATTATAAGTATAGTATAGTGCGCCTATTCTATTCGAGCCTTTATATTTAAGGGTTCAGGGTGACGTTCCAGAGACCGGAATATACCGGTCTGGCATTAGACAGAACGTGCTGGCACGACTTACGGTATAGTCTTAAGATTTTTTTCCATGTGGGGTTCGGCTTGATGTAGTTATCGAGAACTCTTGCTGGTTTTGCAGTGCCTGGTTGCGACTTCTGCAGGTCTCACACGTGTTTAGGGCTATTGAGCGTCTCACAGGAAGCATGGACCTGCAAACCGTGCATAGCATACGATTATGACTATGGTTATGGTTGTGAGTATGGTGATGAGCATGCTTTGATTCTGGTTACGATTGTTAGTGAAGTTTAGTAGTTTTTGTTATTACTGTTGTTATTCTTAGCGTTGCAGTTCTTGTTCTTGGTATAGTAACCCTTATCGTAACCTCCCTTGGACCCTTATAGAAGGACCTGGGACATTATGGTGTTGTTCTTCGTTTCGCAGCCTTTCTGCAATCCTCAGCCCCGAACCCTCCTGCCCCCAACCCTAGCCGCTAGCCCGGTCCCAAGAAAAAAAAGCTTACTGGTTATTGTTGTCCCTAGGCTTGGGATCACTGGGCCGACTCATGCCCGCCTTTGCCAGCATCTCTGGTGGCTCGGAGTAGTCGCGGCAATGCTTTTGGTCACCCTGTTGATTTGGGGGTTCTGGAGGCTTGTAGAAGGTTTTACTAGGGCTTGTATACGGTTAATTGGGGGTTCTGGAGGCTTGTAGCAGGTTTACTAGGGCTTGTATACGGTGAGTTACATACAGTACAAGGTTTTTTGTCTTGTGGTGAGGGGACAGAAGTGTGAACAAAGCATGGCGACTTTTCCAAGGGTAAAAAGTTCTTAGTAGCTGCCGACTAGGAAGGGTTCTAGGAAGGGCTCGTTTAGTGGATGCAGGAAGGGACCTTCGCTGTGACTTGACATGGCCTAACTTTTGGGAGGTCGGAGTAGCTAATGCTTCCGTTTCTTAAACCCCCAAACCCTGTGAAAGGCCATAACGGAGCCCTGGGGTAATCGTACCGCCACATTCCACTGACAGCAAGATGGTACCCTTCTTGTGTGAACTGGGTTTTCAGATTTTGGGTTTAGGGGTGGTGTTCGAACCCGTAATTATACTTCCCACATGATTATACGCTGGTCTACGGCCAAAGTCTATTCTGTTGTTTCTGGTACCCATATGACTGTCCTACCGTTCTATCACCACAAATCTCGAGTCCTCTATTATCCAAGTCCACATATTTGCTACATTGCGGCCTAAACCCTAAAACCCTAAAGCGTAGACCGTGGATTTTGCCTCGAAAGCCGACCAGGAAACCGTCGGGGAGACGTTCGCCTGCATCCATCGCAGCTTTGGAGCACAGCGTAGTGACTGGAAGCTGGAGTTCAGGTTTAGGGGTTTAGGGTTTGGAATGTAGGGCTCCTTAAGGTTTAGCATTCTTGGTGTTAGAGTCCAGAGCTGCCTGGGGTTGCTGGGTTTAAGCGTAGAAGGTGTTCCACTTTCAATGCGCGGGGCAGTTTTTGCCTTGCTAAGTCTAGTGTCTTGTGTGATTTACGCAATAACACCGTTCGGTTTTGTTTGCCTCCTCCCCGTTTAGTGTGAGCGTGAAGGCGTTGAACGCATACACACATGCACATATACATATATGCACATATATATATATATATATATGTATACACGTACATACTTGCATGCATGCACAGGTAATACAAATAGGCATATTCACCATACAATGCACAGTGTCAATCAAACGTGGTAGTGATGCATTGTAAAGCATACGCCCGGTAGTGTACAGCATATATTACACATCATATTATATACATGATGCACATTCATATGCATGTTCATGTGCACATGCGCTTGGAATTTACTTTTACGCGTATGTACATACATATGTATACATTACACATACATATACATATGTATTTCTGTACATGTACACACACACAACCACAACACCAACTCACACCAACACACACACACACACACACACACACACACACACTCATACACACACGCACACACACACACACACGCACACACACACAGACACACACACACACACACACATACACAACCACAACACCGACACACACACCAACACACACACACACACACACACACGGACGCAGTCATTCATGTACATGTACATGTATACAGATAAAACTCCATATTTAGTCGTTCCTGCGGTTGCTTATTCGTTTGGGTTGTGCTTGTTTTGTGTGGCCACCTCCCTCTGGGGGTCCTCATATTCGGGACGACAACCCCTAGATAAAACCCCTCGTAAACTCTACACCCCTAACATCTCGAAAACACTTTCCGGCTTTCGGCCATCCAAAAGCATCCTACTGCAGGAATCCAAACCCCTGAGCCCAACAACCCCACTGCACAGACTACAATTTTACCACTAAACCTTTGTCATAGCTGGTTATCATTTTTCATTTTCATGGGTTCTTAAACCCAGTAGGGAATAAACGCGTACAAATTTAAACCTATTCCAACCATGAACTAGAAACCATGATCCCAAACCATGATACCCTAAACCCGAAAACCCCGAAGCCCTCAAACCCCGAAACCCTAAAGCCCCGAAACCCTAAATGACCCCTCAGACTCTTGAGGCATGCAGCGGGCAGCCCTCAACTACTTCATCCGCCAGCGGGCTGGCCGAAGGTTCCAGGATTGGCGGCTTTTTTGGTGGAGGGCTTTAGGCCGGTTTAGGGTTTTAGGGCTTTAGGGTTTAGGGTTTTGGGTTTGGGGTTTAGGGTTTGGGGTTTAGGGTTTAGGGCTTCTGGCTCATTGTCAGCGTTGCAAACCTGAGTTTCAATCCAAAGGGTTATTGAAGCCAGTAACAACCCAAAGGGGTCATTTCAGACAGCATTGGCTTTCTGTTGGGTTCAAGAGGCTTATAGCTTGGATAGTAGTAGCTGAAGTACTTATCTAGTCTTGACATACAGCCCTCAATAGCAGCCCTAGTTTAGGCTGCCCCTGCCAGGTGGCAAAAGTCTAAAGCCCGTCACATCAAACCTTATCAAAGCCGCACTTGGAGGTTCATGGGTGGGCTATATGTAGGACTATGAGTAGGGTAAGTTTACTTGTAATGTTGACCTGCTTTTTATAATCAACCCCTCAACTATAAAACCCCACCCCCGGAACTCAATTATAACCCCCCCCCCCCTCAATTACAAAACCTGCCGGCCCAAATCCCCGAAATTAGATACTTCTTGTTCTGTGTTGTTGTGTGTTGGTTGAGAGAGAGACTGCAGCTACTACGAGAGCTTGGGGTCTGCAGAGAGAGAGAAACTGCAGCTACTGCGAGAGCTTGAGGTCTGCAGAGAGAGAGAGAGAGAGAGAAACTGCAGCTACTGCGAGAGCTTGAGGTCTGCAGAGAGAGAGAAACTGCAGCTACTGCGAGAGCTTGAGGTCTGCAGAGAGAGAGAAACTGGCGCACTATACTACTGTACTATTGTACTACTGTACTACTACTGTACTACGACGACGACCCCCCTCAATAATCAATCCCCCCCACCCCGGGCGCCAAATCAAACAAGGGGGGGGGGGTTATTATTGTTAGCAGGGTGACATTGTTCCACATACGAGGACTTCTGAGCCCACTTATAACTACCCCTGAACCCAAAACTCCCAGACGGTATCAACATGCTTGTAGAGTCCTCATCGGACAGCCTACAAAACGTAAAGCTCCCCAAACCCTAAACCCTAAGCTGCTAATCTCCTTTCTGCGAAGCCCTGAACCCCCCTCTCCTTATCCTAAGCCCTGCTTGGAGGGTCGGGGGGCTTGGTAAGTAGGTAGTAAGTAGACTTATAAGTACCCTAAAAGGGACCCTAATTGGGGTTATGGTACTTATAAGTCCTTAAAATAGCCAGTTACTAAGTCCCCCGACCCTCCAAGTGACCCCTTAGCCCCAAACCTCCTTGTGTTTTAGGAACCCTGGGACGGAACCCTAAAGGTGGACATAGGGGCCGAAATACTTACCAATACTATTTGGGGGGTTCCTTATTATAACTAGAGTATAATGGGCCCCAAAACCCTATTCTAATCATTAAGCCCCTTTTGCTAAATCCTTATAGTATCCCTTTAGAGGATCCCTTTAAAAAGGAGCCCTTTAAAGGGATCCCTACTCTAATTCTTAAGGCCCCCTCCTCCCAGGTGGTATCAGCGGATCGAGGTCCTCGCCTTGCAGGCCGGCCGCTGCGAAGAGAGTCGGCCCGGCCAGGTGGGGGTTTCCGCAAATGAGGGACCTTAATATAGTACCCTAAATAGTAGGATCCTTATGATAAGATATTATAACAGGGGACCCTAATATAGTACCCTAAATAGTAGGATCCTTATTATAAGGACCCCCAAAAGTAAGGTAGGCCCTAATTTTTGGAAGCTCCCAGGTGGTTCTTGCGGTCCTCGCGCCCTGGCTTAGGGCTCCTTTTGAAGGGACTTGGGGCTTTGGGGTGTTAGGGCTTGGGGTTTAGGGTTTAGGGTTCAGGGTTTAGGGGTTTAGGGTTTAGGGGTTTAGGGTTTAGGGTTTGGGGATTTTGGGCTTAGGGCTCTAAGGGTTCAGGGTTTGGGTGGTTCTTCCGGTCCTCGTGCCTTGGCTGACGGCTTTGGGTTCCTTTAAAAGGTGGCTCCTTTTTAAAGGGGTCTCTGGGGATTACTATAAGGGGTACTATTGGAGGTTTAGTATAGCAGCCTTAATAATGTATTATAACCTATACTTTTTTTGGGGGGTCCTTGTTATAGGTATAGTATACTGGGCACCAAAACCCTATTCTAATTATTAATGGCCCTATATCACGGCCCCTTTTAGGGGACTTGGGGCTTTAGGGTTTTAGGGTTTGGGGATTTAGGGTTTAGGCAAAAGCTCGAGTTCTCTCTTTGCACAAGGTGTGGAACAATTTAAAGCGACTTGAGCCGTTTAACAGCCCCGGATCCTAAGCACTAAGCTACAAGGCCCAAACCACAAGGCCCTGTCACAAGGCATTATGAACCCTCAACCCGAGATGCCATAGACCCGTAAGTCTCAAAAATAAACCCTTCAATCCCAGAAAAGACCCCAGACCAACAATGAGGCCGTGACAATCTGCGTCGAATGGTTCGAAGAAAGAGTTTACGACCCCTCCAAAGACACACAGAATGCTAAACCTTGAACTTTTTCCGCATTTTTCAGCAAAGCATAAGAACCTATGGAACGTATGACGTCTCTTGCAACAAGAGAAAGCTTGTATAGTAAGCCTCAAGTCCAACTCCTGAGCCGCGTCCTGTCAGAGTCACCCTTTTCGTGGACCCGAAACGACAAAGACTTCCAAACCCCAAAGTCCCTGACCCCCTGCCCCGAGACCCCTAAATCCCTTAAACTCTAAACCAAAACCAAGAACGAAAACCTTAAAACCCTAAAGCCCTAACAGTGCAAGGACCTCCTCGACCGCGTCCTTTGCATGGTCACTCGGTAGGCCTGGGGGACATTTTTCTAATTTCCCTTATGGGACTCAAAAGGGTCTTAATTACGAACGATTTTCAGAGGCGTTTGCGGGCCCATCTAGAAATCCCAATGCCAAGACCTTAAACCTGAACTTCAAACCCTACGCGTAGCCGAAAAGACCTACCTTTTGAGGGTTTCTTGTTATGGTCTCTAAATCTTCAGTTCCTTAAAAGGGTAGGTCGCTTGGGTCACAGGTAAACCTTATGACGGGCCAAACGCCAAACTTGCACCATGGCCTCCCATAGCGAAACCAAGCTATTCCAGACTTGGATAGTGCACCCGCTAAGTAACTGTTGAGTTCAAACGGACTGTGTTACGGCAGGGTGCAGTACTTGGAGGTTCATGGGTAGCTGTAAGTAGGGTTGTAAGTAGGATAACAAAAGTCATTACCCATACTAAAGTTTATTAAAGGACGTGTATCTCCACTTATATTTGCTCATGAACCTCCAAGTAGGGGTTCTTTACTGTAATATGCCATAAGATGTACGAAAGTATTCTAGAATATACTTTGCCCTTAGCAAAAGGACCGTAACTGGGACCTTGAAACCCCGACTTAAACTTAGAGGCCTTAACACATCCGTGTGAAGCCTGATAGAACCTTTACCGGGGCCCCTTTCACACGAACCTTCAAGTACCGGGACTAAGACAAGGGCGATCGACCCCTCTCAGTAGGGGCATATGTATCCAAGGGTAAAACGAGGGACCCTTAATAAGGACCCCTATAGGTATATACCCTTAATATAGCTATTATATACCCAGTATATAGGCCCATTATAGGGTAGGGGTCCCCATTAAGGGTCCCTCCTTTTCCCCGTTTGAATGTATGATATCTATAGTCTTGAGGTGCCCCGACGAACGACTAACACCCAGGTCAAGATGGAGCCCTGCTTCGAAACGCGAGGCAGCCGGAGCCTCAGCTCCCAGAGATTTCAAGGCCGAATTTGAGAGGCTTTATGGGTTGTTCCGGGGTCCCTTTAAAGGGGTCAAGAATGGTTACTATAAGGGCTACTCTAGTATAGGGGCCTTAATAATGAGAATAGTGTTTGCAAGTTTTATACAATTTGACAGTATTTTTGTTATCGGGTTTTGGAGCGTGCTTATAGGCTTTGGAAGTGTTTTGTCGTGGGGTTCTAAGGGGGGGACAGCTCTACCCAGAGAGCCCAATACCCCTTAATTGAGGAATATACCTTAAATCATATTATGCGCCTTCTTATAATTTAAGGTATATTCCTTAATTAAGGGGTATTGGGCTCTCTGGGGACAGCTCTAAAGCTCTTCAGAGCTGTGCCTCTGTCAATCCCGAGGCTCTCAAGAAAGAAACGCAGCTCAAGCCCCGCGACCCTAAACCCTCCCTACACCCTAAACCCCTGAACCCTAAACCCTCCCTAAACCCTAAAACCCTAAACCCTAAACCCTCCCTAAACCCTAAAACCCTAAGCCCTAAACCTCCAAACCCTAAACCCCCAAACCTTAAACCTCTAACCCTAAACCTTAAACCCTAAAATCGGATCCTGGACCCCAAGCGCCCGAAGCTCTCGACCCTTGAACCCTCGAACCCCTAAACCGCTACATGGGTAGTTGCTTCTCGAAATAGGGTTTAAGGTTTAGGGGTCAATTAGGATTTAGGGTTCAGGGCTGTTTTGGGTCCCAAAAACAATATGCAACTCTTGTAAGAAGGACGCTACAAGGACCCTGATTTAGAGAACTTTTCTACATGCAGAGGCTACGACCGTGCGCTGCAAGTCCCTTGCGCAAAGCTCGCAGAGACTGGCTTGATCTCCTGTAACGAAATGCAGGAGCCACGGTTGCATTACTACGTGTTAGCATGCAGTTCGAAATCGAGCAGGTGTGTACGCACGTATGCCTGTATGTTATGTTGTGTTATGTTATGTTATGTACTGGTATGTGCGTATGTATGTATGTATGTATGTATATATGTATGTATGTATGTATGGTTCATGTATCCATGCCTCGGTGTATTTATGCTGTGCTTATGTGTACATGCATTTATAGACAGTAGATGGATGGACGCATGGATGGACGGAAACCATGACTGTCACTCTTCACTTCTGTCATTGGTTTTCATTGTCACGATGCCGGAGAGCATCACTGTAAAGATAGATACGTGTAGGTAGAAGATAGATGGATAAGAAATATACTATTGCCAGCAATGACGCAAAGAACACGGATTCATATTCAATCGGTCAGGTTTTGACAGGCCACACTGTCCGTCCCTGAACCCCGAACCCTGAAGCTAACGTGTCACACACGAGCCAGAAGCCTCTGACTCTAACCATGGACTCAATGCCAGCAAGCTCAAAAGCAGTACGACATGGTAGGATCGTTAGACGAAGCCCTCGCGTCGCAACCGGGAATAGCAGTTTCGTGAAGAGTTCCAAAACCCAACTCTCACGCCATAAGCCAGAAACTCGAACCCTAAGCGCTCTGAAAGATACCCTATCAACCTCAACCCGCTGCTTACCGACAATTTTTTATATGCCCCAGTTTTCTATTCGAATTATGAAGGCTCCTAAATTATAGAACCCTCTTATAGATCCCTAGTAGACCCCTTTAAAAGGAACACTTAAGCAAACCCTATTCTAATTGTGACAGCCTCTATTTTGTAGAACCCTCTTCTAGATCCCCTATAGACCCCTTTAAAAGGAACCCCGAAGTAATCCCTATTCTAACTGTGTCGGCCCCTGCATTGGCGTTAAGACCCAGGATCTCCGCCAAGTGCCCGAAGACCTTTTCGCGACATTGGAAGGAGCCTTAGAACATCAGGGCTCCCAGATTCCAACCAACACTGGGGAGGGTGGCTTTAGGGTTTTAGGGTTTAGGGGTTTAAGTTTAGGGTTTGGGGTTAGGGTTTAGGGGTTTAGGTTGGGTACGGCCCCCACTCAGTAGCAGTTGGATAATATTCATAATATAGAGATATAAGGACCTTAATAGTAGCCCTATTGTAGACTGTTACTGTATGGGGGCCGTACCCAACCTTAGAACATCAGGGCTCCCAGATTCCAACAAAAGTGGTGAGGGTGGGGCTTTGCGGGCTTGGGTTGTAGGGTTGAGGGGCACATGAGAATGCTTAATAAACAGATTCCAAAGAATGGTGGATGGGGGAGGAGGGTTTTTTGGGTGTAGGGTTGAGGCACATGGGCTGGTTCCTAATTGTATTGTAACAAACACATGTTTTAAAGCCTGCGGGAGGGTTGAGGGTCTTATCGGTATTCGATGGTACTCGACTACACTGAAAGGGTTTGACGGGTAATGGCAGTTTTGGAAGTTAAGAGGATTGTACTAGGTTGTTGTAAAGCGTCTTGTAGCCCAGCAAGCCCTGAGAATTAGAGTTTTGGTGCGTGCATTGTAGCATGGGAAATTGAAAAAGGGGTCATGATGTAATTTTACCTGTAGTTCTTAGTACAAGGTTTCGACAAAGGTTCTGTATATAAATTTTCAGGGTATTATACGCCAACATCAATGACAGGGTTTCTCTCGATCGGATCCGGGGGAAGGAGGAGAGGTTATATAGCATGAGGGGGCTCATAGGGGTGTGAGTATTACTCTTCCTTAAGGCCTTAGTAGCTAAGTGGATACACTTTACACTTCTTGGGATAATATGACCCACTATAAAACTGAAAGTGTGCTATTTTTGTGGGCTTATGAACTCAGCAACGGTATGTGAAGGCCCTACCAGCGCCTTAGTTGGGCCATCGTGGACACTTTCGGGCTTTTGGGTGTAGGGATTTTGGGCTCCGGGGTTGAGGGGTATACGTTTTGAGGATTTCAGAGTCTCGGCTTAGATTACTATATGGGTGGTTCTCAATATTAGGGTCCCTTTTTGGGTCCTTATCATAGTGCGGCACCTAAAACTTAAGGTACCCAAAAAGGGACCATGATTTTGACAACCACCCATGTGGGAGTCATCGGAGTCGGCGCGCTTACGAAAGTCCGGCAGAATACAGACTGTCCTACCGCCTTCGGCTTGGTTGCAACGCGGTTTACCCCTCGCTGTTCTTTGTCACCAACCTCCGCAAAAAAAACACCATGTGACTGCTAGAAGGTCGTAATAAGGGATCCTCGCCACCCCATGATCATCAAGAGGCGTCGTGTTTTCGGAAGGTTGTGATGTAAGGTGACCTAAATGTGAGCTGCTAGACATTTGTCATAAAGTGGTCAGAGGGTTGCTATGTTTTATGGAACGGATGTTTTCGTAACACCATCCCTTTTCATTTCCTCTCAGTTAGAGTATACCGCAATGCCGGTGTCCATGATTCGGGCCCCTGGCGCCCGTTAATTTAGATACGAAGCCCCTGTATATTTGTAAAAGACCCATCCGTCAACGCCCTGAACGTCCCGAACGCTTTCCCTGACAGCGCAAGGAAGCTGCCATTGCAGACTGCCCTATCAAGGACAGCACGAGGGGGGTTCCTCGAAAGGTCAGTTTGAAGGAGGGACCATTGGGAATGTACTTCCGTATACGGAGATGGGCTTACCTTACGGCTTACGGCTTTCTTGCAGGGAGGTATTTGGATCAACATCTGCTTCTTGGTTCAGATTTAGTGAAGCCCTCCGTTTTGGCACTTTGTGGGTTCTTTGTTCAGTTCATGGGCTCAAGACTTTGAAGTGTCTGGGGTAAGGGTTTCGCCGTACATGTTCGTGTTCAGGGTTTTGCAACCTGTGGCGATTCCTGAGCCTAGGTTTTTGCCAGGAGTTTCCGAGATATTCCCTGAGCTGAGACAAACTTGCGGCTGTGGAAAACCTCTCGCTTCAGCCAGGACGACCCATTTTGGGCAGCTGTGCATCAGCCTCGAGGTCAGCCCTTGCGGGGGCGGGATGCAGGGTTTATGCATAGGTTAGAAGGGGCCCCCACCCTGTAATAGTGGTACAATAGAATATAGTAGGGCCATATAGGGCCCTAATATAATCGGGTGGGGGCAGCTTCTAATGCATAGGATGCGAGATCCGGGCTTGAGGTGTTGTTGTTTTTTACTGTTTTGGGAGTGGCTTGCTGTAGGGGCGAGAGAGAGTGGGATCTAGAAGATCTACAAGGGGGGGGGTCGGAACCAAGTACATTTCTTAAGTTTTGACAGCAAATCCGTACTCTGACTATGCAGGCCCCAATATCAGGGTTTCCAGTGGTGTACTACTCCTGTTTAGCTTTTTTTGGCGGCTGGGTACTTAACCGGCCCCTGTTTCTGAGTCTTTTAGGTTCCGACCAGACCGGCTCATGGTATAGTAGTACAATATAGGGGTTTGCGTAATTCCCACTACCTTGCCTCGGTCCCTATGTTAGACAGCCCCGTGACCTCTAGCATAAACTTGCCTGAGAGCCTTCGTCCACAGGCATCGCATGGTCGCTGGGAGCGCACCACGCCTACAAGTCTTGTGATGACGAAGCCGTGCGGCAGTTTAATGCGCAGTGCATTTTATGGGCTTTTTAGCAAGACTTATATCATATGAATCAGAGATCTACCCCAAACGACCCGAGATCTACCGCTACAGTAAAGCCGAAATCGCCGAAAGCCTGTACAAGGAGACCCTACGCCCCATCCGAAGCTTATAGTCGATGGGAGTGGGTGGAGGGTTTAGGGTTTGGGGGTTTAGGGCTTTAGGGTTTAGGGTTTAGGTGTTTAGGCTTTAGGGCTTTAGGGTTTAGGGTTTTAGGTTTTTGGGGTTTAGGGGTTAGGGGTTTAGGGGTTCGGGTTTAGGGTGGGATTGTTGAAATCGACAGTAGTTTCACGAAAACGCAGCGACAAAGATTCCCAAGAGTTCTGCCTTTCAGGACAGCAAGAGCCTAATAAACCCTGAACCCTAAAGCCTAAAATTAACCTCGGATCCCTCAGAGGCCCTTGAACCAAGACCCTACAGCCCGAGCTCGAAAGCGCTGAACCCTCAACGAAGACCCGTCGACCCAAACCTAAACGTCCCAGAATTAACCTGGAAACACATCCTCTCAAATATCTTCAAACCCTAAACCCCTAAACTCTAAACCGTGTCCCTTAAATGTTGAGGCTTTGCAACCCTAAACCCCTTGAAATATTGACTAGGTAGGGCTTTGGGACATTTTATATTTTCCCTTATTGGGCTTAAGAGGATCCTATTTACTAATATTTTTCAAAGGCTTTAAAAGCCCCAGCTAGTTGAGGATGAAGGAAAGCCTTACGCTCCAGAGCCCGATCGAAGTCTCACGAACGGCACCAAACCGAAATCCTCAAAAACCTGCTTGTGGTCCTTTATAGTGATATATTAGAGGGTAGTCGGAAGAGTCTAAGTGGTTTAGGGAGTTTGGGAGGTTTAGGGGTTTAGGGTTTTGGGGGTTTAGGGCTTTGCGGTTTAGGGTTTTGGGGGTTAGGGCTGTGCAGCAGAGGTAGGGCGCAAGGGGTCGTTTTTGTTCCTGTCTTCAGCTGTTAAGACTAGTCACCAGAGGCTCTAAGAGGCTCACCTAGGAGTCCCAAACCCTAAACTCCAAACCCTGCCTTAACCCACCAGAACCTACTTTTTTGTAGGGTCCCTATAAATTCCATAATAGGATTTATAATGGGAACCTACAAAGAAGTAGGTCAAGGTAGACCCTAAACCCTAAGACGGGCCAGCTCACGCACGGAGGATGGACCGGATCTCGCGTCGAACTTGATTTGCGGTGGCTGGTCCGGGATCCTCCTGGAAGGCCGGGGAAGTCAGGGATTTTAGGGAGGTTTTAGGAGGGCTCCTTTACAGGGATCTATAAGGGTTCTATAAGAGGGTTCTTTAATGTAGGGGTTCCTTTAAAGGGGTCTGTAAGGGATCTTTTTGTAGCGTTCTGTAATCTAGGGACCTGAATAATTCGAATAGTGTTTACACCTTAAGCCTTAGGGTTTAAGACTTTCGGTGTAGGATCTAGGGAGTTCGACATGGTTTTGGGCTTTCGGATTTAGGAGTTGAGGTGAGGGATGGGGACTTTTGAAAGCCTTATCCGGCTGTAGGAGGGTGGGAGTGAGAGCTTTGAGGGTGCCGCGGTGTTCCAGGGCATCCCATTGCCGGCTTCTCCCCGCACCCCTAATCTATTATGGCTCTAAGGAGAGTAAACCCCCCTAATTTGTGACCCGCACTGCCAAGGTCTTGGAAGCCGTTAGGGGGATCTACCTTTTTTCAGCTGGGGCAGGGCCTTGAAGCACTGCTGAGCTCTATGAGGTGTTGCAAAAGTAGGAAACATCGATGCTAGTATCCAGTTATAGTCCTAGTATAATGAGAGTATCAGTATAAGTATACCCCTTCAAAACCTTTTTCGAATTATTAAGGCCTTAAGACCCTTATATTCAGTCACGATCCTGAATCAGTTGGCGTCTATGAGCTCACAGTTCACAAGCTTTTTGGTTTTGGGATTGCATTTTGATTTTGGGGAGCGGGTCTCCGCACCAGCAATATTCTGCACAATCTTGCATGGATCTTGAGCGAGGTACCCTTAACTGCCAGATATTTATTGGACTCTGCAACCCCCCATCAGTACCGGTGAAAACATCAGAAACGCATGAGGCCTTTGAAGAATGCCTGTAACACCGTAACACCTCGGTGAACCCTATGAAGCCAGTAATGGGTTCTGTATCGAACCCATAAGACCTGCGACAGCCCGTACATAAGTTACTAATCTTACCCTGTCTGAAATTCCAAGGCCGTGTTTAGGATTCTGCATCAAGGTGTTCTACAGGCCATTTGGCTTCAACTATTGAAGCAGACTAGTAGTAGGAACACGAGTACCTTCACTATTAAGGGACTATTGGGGAACCTAGCTAAAGGGCGGGGATTCCTATGATCGTCCCTTATAGTAGTCCCTATGATCCATCCCTGCATTCCCCACCAGAACCATTCTGGAGGCCATGAGGTCCGTAATGCAAAGCTCCGGACCTTTTTCGAAGACCGCAGAGATGTCGACGCTGGGCCAAAGAGAGCCTCAAGTGTTTGGGTTTAGGCCTCTGTTCAAGGGTTCCCACACAAAACAATTAGGGCGGTGAGGTTTGAGGGTTCGGTTTAAAATACTTCTCAAACGGTTCTGCAAGGTTTAGGTGTGCATATGGGGCTCTATGGGTTTTAGCGTTGAAGGGTCATCGGGCCGGGTTCTGCAGTCTCTTTCGAAGGGTTCTATGCTTTACTCTTTAGAAACCCACCCCTAAAAGCCCAGCAAAGAAGCAAAGCTGCAGAAACCCTGTATGCGACGGTCTCTACATGGCCTTCAACGAAGGCTTTGCTGTCGCAGCTGGCGGAGGTGCGCTCCGTCGCTGCTATGCTGGAGGAAAGGCTGAGCACTTGGTAGCAGGCTTGTAGGGTAGGAGCTTAGCGTTGGGTTAAGATTTCTTGGTATATGTTCTGTTTAACCTGGGTTTGGAGTACCATACTTGAATACTTTGTTTGGTGCCTGTTCCTTAAAGGAACCATTCTGAAATAAAAGTCTATACTCTTTTCTCCCTGGTTACTTCAAAGTCCAGTTAAGGGCAGGAAAGGGAGCGCGTTAGCTCCGAATCCCAGGAAACCCAGCTCAGATGTTGAAGCAGTTGGGTTCTAACCTTGGCGACGTTTAGGGCTCCAACTTGCCACTCGGGGAAAACGGCGGCCGAGAAGGCAAAACGACGCTCGAAATTGCGGCGACAAGGGGCACTACGGGCTGGGGGAGTACGTAATTATAAGAAGGAGCCCCGAACACCACAAAATCCAATGCAATGGTTAAGGCACCTAAACCCTAAACCCGTATAGTAACCTTATTGAACCCAAAAAGGAACCCTTTAAAGGAACAGTTTAAGCAACCCTATTGAAAGTTCAAAGTCGCAACAGTTTTTCTATAGCCATGGAACCGAAGATTCAATGAGAAGCCGAAGACTCCGAAGAACGGAAGCGCCTGGAAAGGTACCGTCATGATATGGTTGCATCATACTATAGTATGCTAGACTGTCTAGACCTTGCATGATAGCATGCTGTGATACCTTTAGGTTCCTGAGTAGTACCTTTTTGCCCTTTTAGTTCAGGGTCCCCTTCTTAAAACCGAATAGTAGGAAAAAGGGTATGTACCCGTATTCAAAAAAGAGGCTACCTAGGAACCTAGCTATTCTTGTATGTCAAAATTAGGGTCCCTTTCTGGGTCCTTATTATCATACGGCACCTAATGTTTACGGTAGCCAAAAAGGCTATTCTTGTGTATCATTCCTGTTCTCTGTAGAGCTGAGACCGGGACCTGAGGTCGACTGGTACTGCTCATAATATACTTGGAGGGTCTCTAGGGGACTTAGTATATAACATAATGGGTTCCTTAAGGGCCCCTTTAAAGGGATCTGTAGGGCTTTTTAGGGCTTAGGGTTTAGGGAACTTCGTAACTGGTTATTTTAAGGACTTATAAGTACCATGGCCCCAATTAGGGTCCCTTTTAGGGTACTTATAAGTCTACTTACTACCTACTTACTAACCCCTCCAAGTAAGGGCATGAGGAATTACCAAGTACTAGTTTGGGTGGTCCTCATTATGAATATGGTAATTACTAAGGCCCCTATAGCACCCTTCCAATCTTGGAGTCTCCGTCCTGAAGGAGTGCTTCATAATCGCAGCATGCGTGAGAAAGTATCCCCCGATAGTATATAGATGTAGTTGTCATGTAATCTGTGGTTATAGACTAACTATACCCCAAGACCCAATTTGAGACTCTGGCTTTCGAGAACTAGAGGGTGTCCCTACCACTCGCATCGTGGTTTGAGGCCAAGTCCGAAATGAGGGCTGTTCTTGGAGGTTCATGGGTAGTTATAAGTGGGGTTATACGTCCCTTAATATGGGTTATAACTATAGATTCCTACTTATAACCATACTTATAGCTACCCATGACCCTCCAAGTTGGGTCTACTGGGCCCCGGAACGGAGAAGCGTCGGCCCCCCGAAAGGATGCCACTTGGAACAACCCGTTCCTTCGCAACCATGAGGCGCATTGCCGGACGGAAGGGGCGTGTGCTTGTGTTTTTGTTGGAGGGGGGGCGGAGTGGTGGGGTTTAAGGGTTTAGAGTCTTAGGCTTGTTGTTTAATGTTTGGGGTTTACAGTTTGTTTTTTTGTTGTAGCGGCTCGGTTCTAGGTTAGGGTTAAGTTCTCGGTCAGCGTCAGAGGTCGCTGGAGTTCGGGGTTTCAAGGGTTTCAGGTTTAACTTAGCCACTGAAGGTCTAAATCCTAAACTCTAAACTAAACCCCACACCCTCAACCCTAAACCTGAACCTAGCTTTGTGAAGGCAAAGCTCACAAAAGTAGGTTTGCGCGCAAGAGCCTGGGCTTCAACAGAAGAAAGGGGAGGGCTGGACAAAAAGCAGAACAAGCCCGAGCCCTTGAACCCAAACCAATCCTACAAGCCCTTTAACCCCGAATCCCAAAGCGCAGAGAGAAAAAAGCTGAAAAAGGTGGACTTGCTGCAGATCACTTTGTCCATCGATGACTGTGGCATCCTAGGGGCTTTGCTCAAGGGCGTCTCTGCTCGAAAACGTCATGGATTGAGGGTTCAGTCGGACAGTTTGGGATTCAGGGTTTGGGGTGAACTTTTCCTGGGTTTGGAGTACCATACTTGAATACTTTTCTTTGGGGGCCTGCTCCTTAAAGGAACCATTATGAAATAGAAGTCTATGCTTTTTTCTCTGTGGTTACTTCAAAGTCCGGTATAACGTGGGTACTGCCCCCAGTCAGTGACAGCTGGATAATATTCAAAATATAGATATCTTAGGACATTAATAGTAGCCCTATTATAGGCTGTTAGGGGAGAACCCAAAGTATAACCCACCTATCAATACCCATGAATCTCCCAGCAGGGGCTTTTTCCGTCGTCGTGCCCTTCATAAACTGTTTTGGGGTTCCTTATTGTGATCATGTTCATAATTTACCCCCAAACCCGTATGTGTTGACCTTTGCTGGGCGTCCCCCATCTTCAATGTTAACCAAAGGCCTTTGGGGTGGACATGGACTTCTTCAGGTGCAGTGGCACCAAATCCTTAGAGTCCTTAGAGTCTAAGAGAATCCCAAAAGGCAACCCTTGTAGCTTTAAGACCTTTCTAGAGTTTAGGGTTTAGGGCTTCGGGTATAGCTATAAACCTTTCTAGTGTCACTTCTTGGAGCACCAACAATGATGAGCATTGCACGCCTTGCAGCTTTCCCCGTGCTATAGTTGTTTCTTAGCGTCTCTCATTAACGTGCCCTTATGCAGCCCTAAACCCCAAAACCCTAAACCCTGAACCGAAGCACCCCACACCCACCAAAGGCGGCATCCGACGGCCCCGGTTTTTGCGGATCATCTTCTGGCACCCGATTCCTCCGCCGATCGTTTACCGACCCGGCGAGGGACCTCAGGAGGGGTTCAAGGTCTTCGAAGAGGGGCTATAAGAGTACTATGACAGGGGTTTAGGGGTTTAGGGTTCAGAGTACTGTGATAAGAGCAAATAAGAGGGATACCAAAAGAGTACTCTGATAAGGGGTTTTATAGTTAAGAAGGAATATGAGGGTTACTTTGAGTGAGGTTGTTGGGGTTTTGTCGGTACTATAAGAGTACCATGATAAGGGCAAATATCCTAATCTAAGGGTCCAGCTTCCCTCACCCTAAGCCCTCGGCGGCGCTGGACCTTAAGCTTTTAGGACTCTGCGGCTTTGGCATCTTGTTGGGCTTCAGGGAAACCCTATAAACCCTAAACCCTAGTTTCGGTCGTCAGACGTTTCACCCTTAAACCCTAAACTCTAAACCTTACATCCTGAACATTGAAGCCTGGCGAAAGGCTTAGGGCCTAGGGTGGCTAGGGTGGCAAGGGCCGCAAAGGGTTCATGAAAATGCTTGGACAAGCCCAGATCTTGTCAATACATCAGCAACGCTTTTTTCAGAGAGATGATATGATTTTCTGATGAGGCACCTGTGCCGCACGGGGGCGGATGCCAGGACCAACATCGGATCGCGAGGGCGGAGGATTTCCCTTGGACGTAGTTTACGCCGCGCTCCTTGGCGACATGGAGACGCAGCGTATCTGTTGCCAGTCAGGATTTCTGCACCAAATGCACCAAATCTGGGCCGCGGATCTGGGCCGGGGGGCAGAGGTGCAGGCGCTTCGTGGCATCGCAACCGAGCCTGGGAAGGATTGATGAGACTGGTTAGGGTTTGGGGGTTTAGGGTTTATAGGGTTTAAGCTCTAGGTTTTAGTCGGATCTTGGATTGTGGGGTTTAGGGTTAAGGCTTGGGTCCAAGTGTCAATGGTTGTCTTGAATACGTTCACAGAAGCAGCTTAGCAGCACCCTTTAAAAAGTGCCTAGAGCTGGAGCCAAGTGCAACTGCCAAGGAAACCCCTATAGTAGAACCCTGAATTCATGGAACCCCTCAAAGGAACCCTAAACCCAACCCTATACCCTAGTTTTACTGTAGTACCCTTATAGAATCCTTAATGGAGCCCTTCCAAAGAATTCTGAAGCCTAAGCCCTTGTTTGGGGTCCGGGGCCGGGTGCAGAGGCTTCGGGTTCGGGGCTTAAGGTAAAAGCCAGAAAGTTGGAATATGATTATCCTAACCCTTCTATGGTATATTATAGTGTATCCTACCATGAAACCATATTCCAACTTTCTGGAGTTCCCTGTGAGCGGTTTTGGATTTCGGATCCCGGGCATCAGGGTCCCAACCGGTAGAAGTACTATTTAAGCCATAGGAAGATGAGTATTCATGAGATGAGGTATGTATATCTTAAGCCACAGCAAGATGAGTATTCATGATGTGAGGTATGTAAATCTTAAGCCATAGGAGGCTGAATATTCATGATATGAGGTATAATCCACACTTAGGATGTTGGGCTTTCTGTGCTGTTGGAGGCTCAGGCTTGGGAACTACAGATCTCAACAGCCCTGTCCATTCAGAAAGTGCTACTTGGAGGTCCATGGGTAGTTATAAGGGTTCCTTTCAGGGTCCCTTTAAAGGGCTCTATAGGGCCTCTAGAACGATATTGGGTTTAGGGTCTACTTGGAGGTTCATGGGTAGTTATAAGTGGGGTTATACGTCCCTTAGTATGGGTTACATCTGTAGTTATCTTAAGTATAACCCTACTTATAACCAACCATGAACCTCCAAGTAAGCCCCTTGTAAATTCCCGCACAGACCCCCTTTGCCCCTAAATAAGCCTGTAGAACCCTCTGCAGAGACAATACATAATATAGGGGGTTGAATTTGGCCCCATACTACTCCTTGGGGTTCCCTTATGTGATTAAACAAGAGTATACCGCAAAATTCGTTGTAGAATCCTTGTGGTAGATCCTTTGTAGAAAACCCAAAATACTAGGATGCCCAGCAGTACCCTTATTCCCTTTTTGTAGTCCTAGGTTCCTTATAAAGTTACCCAATACCAAAAAGAGAGGCCTTTTTATTCTTAGGTTACTGGGTATCCTAGTATATTATGGTACAGTTATAGATCCCTTATAATACCCTTTTTAAAGGACCCCTTTAAAGGAACCGTGTAAATCTTTTTAGGGTATCCTAGGAAACGAGCCCTTGCAAGGAACTCCAGTCTGATCCTCAAGGCCATATACGTTCGTTCATACATTCATACATTCCTGCATTCATTCGTACATACATACATACCCACACATATACATACATACATATGTATATACATATGCGAGCACATATGTCTAGAAATATTTAAAGATATAGCTATGTCAGCTATGTATACATATATGCAAGCCTTCAGCCCTCATTTAGAGAGCGCTTCAGAGGCTCCCAGCGTCAGCTGGGCGACTGGTACGAGGAGCTCTTTTGTAACAAACATTCCTTTATTAAGCGGTATTGGGCTCTCTGGGTGTGTAGGGTTACAATGACGAGCACCCTTCTTGGGGACTCGGGTCACTACGCAACCCCCGAAGTCATCCGTTGCCGTTATGAAAAGCATTCGATGTTCGCCGGTACCCTCCCACATTGCACGTGCACTGCACCTGCGGTACTTACCTTACAGTTACACTTACATTACCTTTGCATGCAAAGCATTACCAGGAAATTTGGATGTCTAGCTCCCTATGCTATTTACTTAGGATTATGGGACTTGCTCATAACCACACTTCCTAAGTCCCATGATCTTGTAAGTGATGCAAGGGCCTTAATGATTAGAATGGGTTTTTGGGCTCCTTTACAATATGAGTATGACAAAGAAACCCAAGGACAAATGTTGGTGGTTGCTTATGCCGCTATCTTAAACCCTAAGCCTTAGTATGCCTCAACACAGAAGCCCGTGGAATCCAAGAACACGACAGCTGTACATCGTAGTCTATGTTTTCTACATCGGTGTAAAAAAAACATACACTACAATGTGAAGCAGCCACCTCCGAGCCGAGGATAATGAGCCATGCCTTTAGGGTTTAGGGTTGATGGAGCAATTTGAAACCATCGCCCCTTAAGGCACCTATATATGATACCTATAGTGCAGTCCAAAGCCCGAATAAAATCAGTACGGCCCTTGCTTTGTGGAGCCCTTGTAGTGACCATTGTATCTCCTATAGATTCCGATCACAGGAACCCTTAAAGGAGCCCCTTAGTAGCTGAGTGGGTACACTTTACACTTTGGGGGATAATATTACCCACTATAAAGCTGAAAGTGTTCACTTTTGGGGGCTTATGAACTCAGCAACTAAGGCCTCATTGTTAAGGCCCCTACATTACATACCCAACTGACAGTTCCCACCATGCAGGACGTGTTCGAGCTGACAGGAGCCCATCCGTTCTAAGCCTTTTCCAGGGTGTTAGGGTTTTGTCAGGGTTTTCATAGAGGGTTTTTATAAGAACCCATGAGGGGTTTTTATAAAAACCCTCTAGGGTGTTAGACAGGGTTCTGTCAAGGTTGTCGTGGGGTTCTACAGGCGTCCAGAAGAGCTTGCACAAGGTTCTGCACGGGTGTTGCAGGGGGGTTGAGTGCCAGTTTCCAGAAAGAAGGGACAAAGAACACATACCGTAAGCAGGATTCTCTTCACAAGGACCTCTTAATTGAGTAAGATACCCGGGCTCTAAGGGATAATGAAATAAACATAAGGTTGTTCACATAAATACATATTATTATATACATCCGCCAAATAACGGGCTAGGCCGCGCCAAGTTGCTCGGAAGCAACTTTTAAGTTAAGGGTTACTGAAAGGGGCATGTACATTCAGAATAGTGATCTGGAGGTGCTACACTGAATTTCTGTACGAGGGAATGTAAGGCCGACCTCTGTGCCATAAGGGGCCTAGGATAATTACGAAGACTATTTTGGGAGGGTCCCTTATCATAAAGTATCGTACGCTATGGCTATACCCCAAAACCAATTCTAACGACTATGGCCCTTACATTGTTATTGGAAAGGTCGTGGTTTGATTAAGGCACCTGCCTGTTTTCGGGGCCTTTTCTGGTCCTGGTGTATCGTGTAGCGCTGCTATAGAGGGACCCATATGTGGACATTACTACCATAGTAGACCCCCAGCCCGTCCAAAACCCTGAAGCAGTAAACCGCAAATTGCACTGTAAAGCCCACAGTCAACGCATCAAAACGTAAGCACCCCACAAGACCCCACCGACCTTAAAGCCCCATACCCTGAACCCCTGGACTCTAAAAGCCCTAAGAAACCCTACTGGACCCTCCAGCCCGACCGAAACCCGAGAGCCATAAGAAATCTACTAAATCCTCAAGCTCGAAACCGTTACACCCTACTAGGAGAGACCTGCTCTTTACAAGCTGTCTTCGATGAGGTGTGGCTCGGCATGGTTTTGGTGCTCGTAGGAGATATCTGCTATTCGTTTCTACTAACGCCAAGGGATTGTTAAACCTGTCAGCTTTTGGTTAATGTTTGTAATAATGAAGTTCCAAGCAGTATACAGAATGTTTGTTCCACGTTTTGTTCTGAGGGCGCCGAAGGTGGTAGCAGCGTTCGCAATGTGGCAGCTCAGGGTTCAGGGTTCAGAGCTCAGGATATTCGGGCTGTAAGGGCTGTATACGACGCATTTTCGGAAAATGGGCTCAGGGCCGCTTTAAAAAAAGCAGACATTGCAAATTCAGGAGTGTCAGCTGGCTCTTGCTCAGAAGTCATTCGCGAACTTGCTAGGCTTTGGGGGAAGGGACCCGCATTAAGGATGTAGGCCGCAGGGTCCAGGGTACAAACGAGTTCAGGCTGTGAGGTCTGCGGGCACCATAAGTTATGAAAGTCTGCACTTGGGAGTTTGTTGTAACGCATTGCTAAAACCCTATTCTAACTAGTAGGGCCCCCACATTATTCGGCAACAGACGGCAAAACGCTACTCCTCCAAAGCACCATAGCCCGCCAGACTGTCACAGTCAAGGCCGTATCTCTAGCCCGGAAGCCCTGCACCCTCCCTTCCGAAGCCAAAAACCCCCAATTCAAACCCCAGCTACCCAGGCAACAGCACTACGGTTTGTGGAGTCTTGACTTGCGTGCCGTGGCAAGAGTTCGAGAGTTCAGCAGTAGGGTTCAGGGGTTTGTAGGGTTTAAGGGTTTAGTAGTTAGGGTTCAGGGGATTCAGGAGTTTGGGTTTAGGGGTTTAGGAGTTTGGGTTTAAGGGTTTAGGAGTTAGGGTTTAGGGTTTAGGGTTGGAGGATTATTAGGACAACCCCTCTGGGCTCCTAGCACAGCATACCCCAAAGCCTGCATAGGGTTTCCTCTGCTGGCGTGGACGCATATATCCTTGGGGGCTGAGTAGGTAACCAGAGGGCCCAATACCCCTTAATTAAGGAACAAAGCTTAAATCATAATATGAATCCCTATTGAGGTATATTCCTTAATTAAGGGGCATTGGGCTCTCTGAGTAGGTAACCTTTATAAGCTTTTTGGGCCTTATATGGGTGGCTCTCAAAGATTATGGCCCCTTTTTGGGTCCTTATTTTAATACGGCACCTATGATTTGGGATACCCCAAAAGGGACCATAATTTTGACAACCACCCATATAATCCTACTATAGTTCAACAGGTTAACCTTTCTTGGGGTAGGGTACTCAGCCCCCAAGAGTCTAAATTACACAAAGGACCCCGGGCTTAGCCCGAGCTCAAGACGGGATGAGAACGGTTTCTTACACAGTAGCTCTTGGTAGTCTAGGGTCCCAAATTAAGGGCTTCCGCTGTCGAGATCTTGCGGGGGGTCTGTTTGCTGTAGATGGCAAGATTTGGGACAAAGTGATGTGCCTCTAACAGCAAGTAGTCTAGGATGCCCAGTGGTACCCTTGTTCCCTTTTTGTAGCCCTAGGTTCCTTATAAAGTTACCCAATACCGAAAGGAGAGCCCTTTTTATTCTTAGGTTACTGGGTATCCTAGTAGTAGAATGAAGCTCGGAGACCTCATTCGGAAGCGTTTGCATCCCCAGAGTCCCCTGAACCCGAAATCCTGAACACCTCTACACCCCTCCGCCCTGGACCGCTAAGCCCTGAACCCCTCTACAACCTAAAGCCTAAAGCCCTAATATAGGGGCCTGAATAATTACCAATACTTTTTCGGGGGTTCCTTATTATATTCAAAAGTATAATGGGCCCCAAAGCCCTATTCTAGTTGTTAAGGCCCTTCTTTTAAATCCTGCATGGGAGTTTCAGAAAATTAGGGGTACCTTAATTTGGGGTCCTTACAACCAGGATCCTACAATTTAGGGTACTATATTAGAGTCCCCTCTTTTCGGAAACTCCCGCATGAGCTGGGTCTCCTTTCGTTCGCGGTGGCGCGCTCGTTCTCGCTCGGCTTTGCAGCTTTCATAACATGGGTTCGGATTTCTCACACAGTCCCTGAGCCCTAAACTCAAAAGCTTCAACGTAGCAGTAGAGTGTGTAACCTGTAAGCTTTTGGGGTACGAAATGTATACAAACCCAAAAGTTGAGTTGCCCTAAACCCTGAACCCTATACCCAAAACCCTAAGCCGTAGGATTCTTGCCAAGTAATTCCCTAAGCCTTTCGATGCCCAAGAAACACTCCCGTAAGCCTTGGTGCGTTTAGCCCCTCGTTTAAGGGTTCCTTCAAGGGATCTGTAAGGTTTCTATAAAGGGTTTAGGGTTTAGGGAGTTTCCGAAAATTAGGGGTACCTTATGTTACTTATGTTAGGGTCCTAATAATAATGATCCTACTATTTAGGGTACTGTATTAGGTTCCCCTGATTTCGGAAACTCACACAAAGGCTTCGAGTTCGGTACTGCCCCCACTCAGAAACAGTTGGATAATATTCCTGATACAGATATATTAGAACCTTCATGGAAGTCCAATTATAGACTGCTACTGTATGGGGGGCAGTACCCAAGCCTCCAGCACCGAGCCCAGAAAAGTTGAGTCGGCACACCCGCATACAAATGCCACTAAAAGGTTCAGTTTTGTCAAAGGGGAAAAGGAGGGACCCTTAATGGGGACCCCTACCCTATAATGGGCTATATAATGGGTATACAATAGCAAAATTAAGGGTGTATATACCTAGGGGTCCGCATTAAGGGTCCCTCCTCTTCCCCTTGGATTTTGTGTGCTCGCTCAGGCGACTGCGACAAGGCGTGCCAAGCGCGGGAGCGGCGGGTCTTGAAGGGGCGCAGAGAGCCAAATGCCCCTTAATTAAGGAATATACCTTAAATTATAGGGGATTCATTTTGTGGTTTTTATGGTTTAAGCTACATTCCTTAATTGAGGGGTATTGGGCTCTTTGGGGGAGACTTTGATTCCAGTACCCGGTGCCTGTACCAACAGCAAGAGCAACAGTCAAGGTCGGTTCTGCAACACAAGACTTACATTTGGTTAGTAGGGAAGAGAAGAACGGTAGTTATAGTAGTTATAATTGTACCCCATTCCTCCATTCCCTACTCACCCAAGGTAAGAGGAGCGAGCAGAAAGGGAGAAGGACTTGATTTATTTGCTGCAAAGCGTTTCCCAAATTGCACTGTGAATGACACTAGGACCCAGAGTAGGCCCTTATTCCCTTTTTTAGGGTTTGGGTTCCCTTATAACACCCTTTTAAACCAAAAAGGGCGACCTTGTTAATCCTAGGTTACTCTTAGGTCTAGGACATCAGCCATGGCCCGAAACCTCAAACCGTGCCTGATCAATGAAACAGGTTCCCAGAGAGCCCAATACCCCTTAATTAAGGACTATACTTCAAATTATAAGAGGGCGCATAATATGATTTAAGGTATATTCCTTAATTAAGGGGTTTTGGCTCTCTGGGTTTCCCACGCAGTCCCAATACTATTACAATCTGACCTGCTCACTACTACATTATATTCCAGCGTCTCCACTGACTGCACCATGCTATACTGATACCGGTGCAACTGCTGAACGATTTCAATTACAAGCATTAGTACTAGCAACAGTACTAGTATTAGTACTAGTACGACGACGACTACTACTAATATGACTTACTACCACTACTGCTACTGCTACTACTACTACTACTACTACTACTACTACTACTACTACTACTACTACTACTACTACTACTACTGACACTATTACTACTACTACTACTACTACTACTACTACTACTACTACTACTACTACTACTACTACTACTACTACTACTACTATTGCTACAGCAACAACAAAAACAACAACAACTACTACTACTACTACTACTACCACTACTACTACTACTACTACTACTACTACTACTACTACTACTACTACTACTACTACTACTACTAATACAACTACAACTACTACTACTACTACTGCTACTACTACTACTACTACTTTTACTACTGCTACACTATACTATATAAATTGCTTTACTAGAGTTTTTCATTATACTTCACTATACCTTACTTCACTATACTATACAGTATGCTACTTCACTGTGTCGCTGCGCCATGCTCCGCTATGCTACGATCCTCTCCAATACCCCAATGTCGTATTTTTTTCGGGATTTTTGGCCTGCCTCTGGGCTGGCGAAACCTGAAGCTCGAACTGAAGCTCAAATCTTGGGTACGGCACCCCCTCAGCAATAGTTGGATAATATTCATAATATATATATATATATATATATACACATGTTAGGACCTTAATAGAGCCCTATTATAGACTCTTACTGTATGGGGGCAGTACCTAACTCAAAACCCTATCGCAGCCATAGGAGACGCTTCAGGCATGTACTACGTAGGCTCTGATAGTACCACTGATACCGTATCAGCAGTTACGGTACATGGTATGATTTTCTTCGCAGCTCAGCTTTACAGTGGTGCCGACAAAAACACGAAGTGATACCAGGGCTTATGCAGGGCTTGTGGAGGTGTTGATCGTGTCTTGTAGGAGCCTTTCAAACCGAAACCCTGAACACGAAACCTGCTATCCCCAAATCCCACAAGCCCCAAACCCCCAAACCCCACGCTAAAACCTGAGCCCGAATCCCCTAAAACCTAAGTCGCGAAGATGCCTCTGAAGACATTCAGGCCAACTTCGTTCGCCGTGACGTGGCCGCTGAGCTCGGCGTAGACCTTGTGGAGGCCGTCCGCAGCTATGGGGCTGTCGGGGCTTTAGGGTATCATAGGGTTTCGGGTTCAGGGTGGGGATTACGAAGGGTTTGACACGGTTCGAGGTTAAGGCTGTCAAAGAAGGGTTTGATAGGGTCTAGGGTTTTGGAATTAGGGTGTAGAATATAGGGTGTTCCGAAAGGGTTCATAGGATTGCTGTGGGGTGTTTAGAGTTAGATGTTACGAATGGTCTGAATTCTGCATAATTGGCAACAACATGCCTTAGTCCTTGGGGGTTGCTTGGTTAAAAGTAGGTTTGCGGTATTTGCGGCTTGGGCTGAGGATCTACAGGGGTACATAATTACATAGCTGTACGTTTTCTATATAGTCGTGCAAGTTGTTGTGATTGTTTCTGGAGTTTCGTGGAGTTGAATCTAGCGTCGTCCTGCACAACTGATGAAATTAATACTCTCTGTTGAATCCAAAGATAGTTATTACTTGGAGTTTAGGATGTAGGGGTTTGGGTTTTGCATTTGAGTTCTGTGTTCGAGGTGGTTTCGCATGTAGTGGGCAAGTGTCCCGGCTGTGGTGATGTCGGAGCAGTACTCGGAGTAATGGTGATCGCTGTAGGGTTTAGGGTTTACGGTTTAGGGTTACCAGCTGAGTTGCCACAGTAAGGAAGAAATGTCACTCACATCCGTATCATGGTAACTTCAATTGAAGCCCGTTAAAACGAACCCGGCCAGTCATGGACAGCATCAGCTGCTTTCCTGTACGGGTCGGAATGCTGTTCGCCGTCATTCTTGTGGTGATTGCTGAATCTGTCCAGACTATCGTCACGAGCCAGTGCTGCGAAGTAGAGAGCCTTGCAAGATAGAGCCCCAAGAATGAATCCAATACTGGTGACTGAACCCCTAATCGTTCCAGCATCAACAAGTTCCCTGAAACCAAAAACCCTATGCGTATTGCAACCCCCATAAAACCGCAAACCCGTAACCCCATTAGCCTAAATGCTCAAGCCTCAACCCATACACAATCCTTCGATTTTTTCTAGGGTTCTAGGCTTCGAGTGCTCCTATAAGGATCCTTCCAACATCAGTGGATCCCGTTGATAGGGTTTGGGGGCTTGGGGTTTAGGGCTTAGGATTAGGGTTGTAGCGTTTAGGGTTGTGGGTATTTGCAACTGGATTTGAATTGCTACAACATATGATCTGCCCCAAACCTTGCAGCCCCAAGGCCTTACAGAACCTCCAAAAATACCGCAAAACCTTCAATAACTAACATTGAAACGCCCGTAAAGCCCATGCAAAACCGCCTAATTAAAAGCCCTTGAAACCTTGAACCTACTACAAAACGCTCCAAAGCCCAAAACGGCCTAACCCTGCTTCAGGAGGATGCACTACCAGAAGCCTGGTACAGAAGGCTCATTTCCAACGTCTTGCTGTTTCGGGTTCGAGGGGGTTCTAGCATTTTAGGGCTTGGGGTTTAGGGTTTTATTAGAGCTCGTGGTAGGCGTTCTCGAAAGCTTAGTACTTGAATAGGTACGTTTTGGGTGATCATGTTGTCCCCTCTACAACTCAAATTTAAAGTGTACTAAGTTCTCTAAGGCCTCTTGTGCTTCAAATTCTACACGGGTACTCTTGGTGTGTGTGTGTGTGGGGGGGGGGGGGGGTTCGGATTGTTTTGGTGTTGTTAGGTTTCCTTTGTCTCTGCTTTCCCGGATCAGTGGAGGCTCCAAGAACCCGTAACATCGTGAAGGAGAAGTTTGGGTTTCAGAACAGATTAGACATGAGTGTACAGGGCTCTTTTGGGGGCTTTCGAAGGGTTTCAACACCCCCTAGATTCAAAATCATCCGTCAGAACCTAGGATGCCCAGTAGTACCCTTGTAGTCCTAGGCTCCCCATAAAAATACCCAATACCAAAAAGGGAGCCCGTGTATTCCTAGGTTACTGGGCATCCTAGGAACACACTCAGGAGCCTCTGTCTCATTCAAAGTATACCTGGGCCCTATATGGCCTTCCTGGTTAGAGTTTAACGATTCTGTTTTCCGTCTAGAAGTCCCTAACAGGGTGCAGATATTCTCAGTTAGTGGAGGGTTTTTGGAGTCTTCGGGTCACCCGCAGACTTGGGGACCCAAGCGGTACCCTTTTGTGCCATGTTTGCGTAGAGGCTTCCTGATTCAAAAGAGGACTCTCCCCGGGAAACCGAGCCCTAGGCCCGAAGGGAAGGTTTCTACTGGGAGGGTCTTTAGGGGACTTAGTAACTATAAGGGGTTCCTTTAAAGGGGTCCTTTAAAGGGATCTATAGGGATTCTATAAGGGTTTAGGGTTTAGGGGGACTTAGTAACTGGCTATTTTAAGGACTTATAAGTACCATAATCCCAATTAGGGCCCCTTTTAGGGTACTTATAAGTCTACTTACTACCTACTCACTAAGTCCCCTAAAGACCCTCCAAGTAAGGTTTTAGGGTGTTGGGGTATCAAGGTTTTGGGTAGAGACTCTGAGCTCTCCACGTCAGTCGGTTGATGATATAAATCCTGCATTACCCATAGTAAGGAATATACCATAATTCCATAGTCTATGGTCCTTAAGGTCATGCAGGATTTATATCATCAGCCGTAGTAACCCTGCTGTAATCCGAGACCTCAGAAATCCGACTATGGAACTACTGGAACCCTCAAAGAACCTTAACCAACCAAAACCTACCTTTTTTGTAGGGCCCCTATAAATTCCATTTTAAGGCTTTATAATACGAACCTACAAACAAGTAGGGTTTGGTAGGTTAAGGGAGTCCTCGAGCCATAACCCCTCCGGTTTCCAGGTACGCTAACGGCGAGTGTCTGCTGAACAGCCACGTCTTCGACACGCTGCTCATGGACCCGAGGCTCATGTTGGCACCTCGGCTCCACGAGACGGATTCCTTTTCTGGTACCCTTATATGGGAGTTGCCGAAAATTAGGGGCACCTTATTTTGGGATGGATCCGATTTAGGGTACTATACTAGGTCCACTAGGTCCCCTATTTTCGGAAGCTCCCATCTAGAACCATGCCTACAGTATATAGAACCAGTATACGATACCCTCATAGCACCCTTCCGGTACAGGTATAGAACCCTTATGGTACCCTTATAGCCCCACTTGGAGGTTCATGGGTAGTTATAAGTGGGGTTGTAAGTAGGATAACTACAGTTATAATCCATGTTAATGGACTTCGAGTTATAACCCCGCTCATAACTACCCATGCACCCAAGAAAGCCCTAAACCCTATACCCTTTTAGAACCCTATAGATCCCTTGAGCCCTTATATATAGCTACCCATGAACCTCCAAGCAGAGCCTTCCACCCTGAAGCCTCCAGCGCCCCTTGCGAGGACGAGCAGCGGCCGATCTCCGAGACTCCCGGCTGAAGAATCATAGGAGGCCAAAAGGGGTTTTAGCCTATGGGGGTTTAGTAGGGATTAGGGTTCCCATAATAGGGTTCATATTAAGGAATCCCTACCCCAAGAGTCTTGAACCACCCTTTTGGCCTCCCATCAAAGAAGTGTCGCTTCTTTTTGCTGGTCTTATAGTAATGGTTTCGGTTTGAGGTTTAGGGTTGAGGTTCTTTCGTACCCTGTTTTTGAAGTTCGGAGCTTTTGCGGGCTCTGTTGGTTTATAGGCTTTCGTCGGGGTTTGGACCTTTCGGTTTGGGATCTTCTGTTGTGGGGAAATAAGAAAAACGCTGCTTCAACTGGGCGTGAAAGGCTGTTGCAGGGGTCGTATTGGGGGTTTAAGCATGAAGGAAATATGATGTCAAAATAGAACAACTTGATAAAAACCGTAGGGGCACCAACCTAGAACCCTGCAGAAGCCTATACAGCCCTATAGGACACCTATACTTCATGGGTTGGGGCTGCAATAGCGCGCGAAGAGGGGTGTTTTTTTTTTATCGAGTTTCTTAGAGGGTTTCTCTCCTGGTTTAATGTCGCGGTCGGAAGAAATTTGACTTGGGTTGTGTGCTTACCCTGCTTCAAAATACTGACCGAGCTCTATATAAGGAAACAAAATTGCTGGCTATGCGCACCCGTTTACCGTGGCACCACTGTATGGGTAGTTGTCAAAATTAAGGTCCCTGTTGGGGTACCCTAAATTCCTAAATATTAGGAGCTGTACTATACAAGAGACCCAAAAAGGGACCCTAATTTTGACAATCCACCCTTCTCTTAGAGTTAAGGGATGGTGTGCCTTCGGGCTCCCCCGGTGTGTTTGAAAGTGCGAAGCCGCCCTATGCATTACCCAGAGGCCCCATAGTAGTTCCTTTTGGGATTACCTTATGGGATTCTATATATGAACTCCAAAAAGGAACTACTATGGGGCCTCTGGGTAGCCTGAAAAAGTGACCATTGTCTCCCCCTATCGTCGGGACATTTTTGGTTCGCCCCCCCCCCCCACTCACTCAGTAACAGCTGAACAAAATATTTATAGTGCAGATATATTAGGACCTTAATAGTAGCCCTAGAATAGATTGTTACTGTATGGGTGCAGTACTTAACGTATATTATATATACCTACACATGTACATATACATTTACATTTACACTCATAGTCTTACCTTGTAGTAGAGCAGGCGACCTTCAACCGCTTTAGAGTACTATGTTACTATGTTCCCAATATGCTCCCAAAGGCTAACCTTTGGTCCTCCAGGATACTGGACAAGTAGTTTCATCGGTATTGAATAATATGTCCCTGCGCACTGTTGAAACCAGTGAGGCCTCTAGTCCAATTCTTCAAGCCGCAATGTGAGAGTACAGCAACATGGCATGTTTGTCTCAAACCTCCAAATTTTGCTCCTATGGACATACCCATCACTTAAGCACAAACTTTGGCCCCCAACCCCGGAACCCGAAAGAACACGAAAGCCTTCATCTCATCAAATGTCTAAGCCCCCGACAATACCCCGAAATCTTTACACACAACCCCTAATATATTCCAAAAGACCTAGAACCCGTACAATACCCACCGCCCCCCCCCGAATATATATATATATATATATATATATATATCTATCTATCTATATATATATATATATATATATACATACTTGTATGTATGTGTATATATATATATGTGTATATACATACATACCACAGAACATTACCAAACCCAATCCCATCCCAGGAAGATGGAGCTTTGGCAGGCACACATCCAAACCATCGGCCGGAGCGGCACGGTGTCTCTCGAAGAAACTCGAAAAGACGCGCGGATGTTGGGGAGAATTAAGGCTGTTATGGGTTTGGGGGTTGCTGTAAAGGGGTTTAGGGTTTAGGGCTTTGTTGGGGGTCTGTATGGGGTTTGGGTTTCGGGTTGGGAGTTATATGGGGGGGGGATAGTGAGGATCCTAGTGTTTCTAGCGGGTGCCTATTTCTGACCCACCTTTGATGTCGGTATTTGTAGTCCTTGCACATTTCAAGACGTTTTTCATTCCAGCATGTGGCTGTTTACAACCTAAAGTTCTAAAGCCTTGACCATATCCGCATCTGGGTCGGCAGCGGAAGACGTGCAGAACAGCAGGTCGACAGCATCTAGCCCTCGACTACTTGGAGGTTCATGGGTAGTTTTACGTGGGGTTATATAAGTCTCTTAATCAGGGTTATATCTATAGTCATCTTACTTCTAACCGTACTTACAACTACCCATGAACCCAAGTACTGTTTCAGCGCTTCGGCAGAGGGCTTGAGTCCTGGATACACTACGTGTCCAGCAAGGTTGGCAGTCGCAGAACCTCACACCATAGGGGTACTTAGAAATATTTTTAATTTTTGGTTATTGTAACCCCTAAGAAACAGCTAAAATTATATTTACACACACACACCTCAAGCCCTCAACCCTAAAGTACCTCTACTACTTTGGGGCTTCCTTATTACATTCATAGTATCATGGGCCTCTTAAACCCTATTCCAATTATGAAGGCCCCTACGATGCCTCGAAGTCCTGAGAAGAAGATGAAGAAGTAGCAGGACAAATGGTAGTCTTAGGGGCTGACTGGGTAGGTAACCTTCAACGTTTTGGGGCAGATAGAATCCTACTATAACTGAAAGGTTATTTTTCCAATTTTTGGGCTAAGGTACCCATACCCCTAGGAAGTAGTAGTGGGAGTGCTTTTGAAGAGCGGCTCGTTCCGCTGTTCAGTGCCACCGCCATGGCGTTGCTTTCGTGTCTCTGCGGAGAGATTAGGCCGCTCGGCATGATATAGTGTCAAAGGCTTCTCCTGGGTTCGGAGCACCATAGAAAAGACTTTTTTGGGGTACCTGTTCCTTAGGGGAACCATTATGAAGTAATTAAAGTCTATATTTTTTCTCCCTGGTTACTTCAAAGTCCAGTTCTTGTAGTACGTAGTGCGGTTTAGGGGTTTGGGGGTTGAGGGTTGAGGGATCAATAGTACTCTGACCTACTAGCAAGGAAAAGGTTGGATGCAGGTCGTCACGTCATGCCGATGACCTACTGCTGGAATCATGATCATTTTTATTTGTGGTCACAGCATGCCGCGTCTGATTTCAATTTAGCTTAAGCCTAGCCGCACAGCTGAAGAGATGGACACTGACGAAAGTAGGAGGTGAACAGTCACCAAACAGAGTTTGATGTTTGCTGATGCTTACTGATATGTGTTTTCGTGTCTTGATGGGCACACGTCGCCTTATCCGAATCAAAACTTTCATGGGATAAGGTTTGCCTTCTTCGTGTCTAAGCCGAGACTTGCCTGCTGCGCACGGTTGCACCTTGCACAGCCTCAAGAGCCAGCACCCAAGGTGTCCGGATGTCTTCACAGATCAAATGTCACCTACAGGATCAATATGACAATCCAGGCGTCATCAGCAGCCTCAAAAAACTATCTATGGGTGATTCCAAGTGAGTCATTGGCCATTGGCACAACCCGCCATGCGCTGATATCAGCCTAAAGTCCTAAACCATATACCCTATAAACGAACCCTAGAACCCTAAACCCTAAAAGCCCTAGAATGGAACCCTAAACCCTCGAACCCTAGACCCTCGCCATGGGTGCGGGTGCCTCGGCCGTCCTGGATGAATCCACCATGCGGCAGTTCATCTGCGAAGATCTCGAGCGAGCCGAACGGGTTCTTACAACAGCCCAACGGCCGCTAGGCGTAGCTTTGCCATTTTGCTACTTATTGGCTGTAAACTGTAAACTCAACTTTTCAACTTTGGGGGTTCTTATAAGGTAGCCGATTCTGACAGTTTCAACTTCCTAGGCCCAAGGTTTCTTAAGCAGGTTCCTACATTATGGTGTTATAAGCCGACCTCTGGGGATGTTTTTTTTTTCGGATTTCCGGCGGAGATGTAGAGAAAGATGAATGCTGGCTCTCTTGATATGATCTTCGAGGGGTTTAGGGTTTTGGGTTCAGGGTCTAGGGTTCGGGGTTTAGGGTTTAGGGCGGGTTTAGGGTTCAAGGACAGGTTGGGTTTATGTAGGGTTTGGGGTTCAGGGTTTAGGGTGGGTTTAGGGTTCAGGGTATAGGGTGGGTTTAGGGCTGAGGGTTTAGGGAGTTTTCCCTCCAGTCTTTGTCGTCCTCGGATTGCTGTTCTTCGTTTATAGCCGAGGCTGGTAGAACAGGAGAAGCGCGTTCGAGCCAATGCTGACGGGCCCGGGGTGGCGAACTCCTTGAATATCCAGGGTTTGGACGGATCGACATTTCAGCTTCCATTTGGCGATGCTACAAGTGTTGCAGACCTCTCCAAGCAAATCGCAAAGAAGATCGAGCTGAACCCAAGCAGCACTTTGGTGCTGACTTCCGGTGGCAGCGTGTTGAATGAATCCCAACCACTACTGGAACAAGTCGCGTCTCGGGAAGTCAATTTCGTCGTAAAGCGAGTCAGTCCCTAGGCAGGCCTTTGGGATATTTACATTTTCTTTTATTAGGTGTAAGAGGATCTTATTCACGAACTTTGTTCGGAAGCTGTAAAGGGCCAACCTAGGTCCCTATGTGGCTGCAAAGAGTTTCCAGCAAGCCGTACAAGAGTCGTCAAAGACGAGCTTGAGCGCGGCAGATTTGAGCGCAATCGATGCGGTTTCCTCATTGGCCACTAACTCCAGCTTCAACCAGACGTTGGAAGATGTCCCTCTGCCGAGCAGATTGAAAACTTTGGTTCTGGGCTTTTATTTCAACCAGAGCTTGAAAGGCGTGAGGTTTCCAAGCAGCTTGGAGACCTTGCGCTTCGGAGCTGACTTTGATCAGAGCTTCGAGGATGTCTTGCTGCCCGAGAGCCTGAAGGTCTTGAGCTTGGGTTCCGAATTCGATCGGAGTTTGCAGGGTGTGAAGCTCCCCGAATGCTTAGAGACGTTGTCCTTTGATTGGGCTTTCAACCAGAGCTTGGAAGGAGTCATCCTGCCAAGTAGCTTGAAGACGTTGGACTTCGGAGTAGCTTTCAACCAGACATTGGCAGATGTCTCGTTGCCAAGCAGCCTGCAGACTCTCACCCTGGGTGCTTCTTTCAACAAGAGCTTGAAAGGTGTTGCCTTACCAGCAGGCCTCAAAACTCTGAGCCTTGGAAGAGCATTCAACGAGAGCTTGGAAGGCGTCACATTCCCGCATGGCTTAGAGACCTTGACCCTCAGCGATTTCTTCAACCAGAGTCTAGAAGGTGTTGCATTGCCAAGCAGCTTGCGCAGATTGAACTTTGGTGAGGCATTCAACCAGAGCTTGGACAGCGTAACGCTTCCGAGCGGCCTGGAGGTGTTGGCCTTTGGCCACCAGTTCAGCCAGAGCTTGGAAGGGATTACGTGGCCAAGCAGTCTGCATACATTGACTTTGGGGAACCATTCCAAGGAGCAGCTGGAAGCTGCGAAGTTGCCAAGCACTTTGCAGACTCTGACCTTTGGCAGCAATTTCAATGATCCTCTAGAAAGTATCATGCTGCCAAGCAGTCTGCAGACCTTGATCTTTGGGGAGTTCTTCAACCAGAGCTTGAAAGATGTGAAGCTTCCAAGTGGCCTCCAGACGTTGGAGTTTGGCTGGGAGTTCAACCAGAGCTTGCAGGACGCTGCTTTGCCAGGCAGCTTGCAAACTTTGAGGTTTGGTCATGACTTTGACCAAAGCCTGGAAGGAGTGACGCTGCCAGGTAGCCTCAAGACGCTGGAGCTTAGCACGGAATTCAAGACGAGCTTAGCAGGGGTCGTCTTGCCAAGTAACCTGCAGACTTTGGAGTTTGGGAGCGAGTTCAACCTGAGCTTGGAGGGCATCGCGTGGCCACCTGGCTTGGAGACCTTAGCTTTCGGCTATAGTTTCAATCAGAGCCTGGTAGGCGTCACTTTGCCGAGCACCTTGCAGACTTTGACCTTTGGCGACAACTTTGACCAGAGCTTGGACGGAGTCACCCTGCCGAGCAGTCTTACGACACTGACTTTCGGCGGTGAATTCAATCAAGCGTTGGGAGGCGTCCAGCTTCCACCCAGCTTGCAAACCTTGACCTTTGGCAGGTGTTTCAACCAGACGTTGAAAGATGTTGCTCTGCCATGTAGCCTGGAGACCTTGACCTTCTTTGACGATCTCGGACCGAGTTTGGATGACGTTGTGCTGCCAAGCAGCTTGCGTAACTTACGTTGGCAGGGAATCTCTGTCGAATTATTATAGCAACCATGGTAACCCAAAGCCCTGTTCTAAGCATTGAGGCCCCTATGCCGTTGCAATGCATCGTGTAGGGCGCCGTTGACACATGGTGAACGTTTCACAGTTAATTAATAGGTGCAGCACGTGCCGAGAGCAAAACGGGCCGGCCCTGGGCAACATAAAAAGATGCCTGAATTGCCATCTACTGTTACTATTGCTACGATTGCTACTGCGAGTAGCGGTACCAGTACCAGTACCAGTATCAGTACCAGTGGTAGTAGTAGTAGTAGCAGTAGCAGTAGCAGTAGCAGTAGCAGTAGCAGTAGTAGTAGTAGTAGTAGTAGTAGTAGTAGTAGTAGTAGTAGTAGTAGTAGTAGTAGAAGTAGAAGTAGAAGTAGAAGTAGAAGTAATTAGTAGTAGTAGTAGTAGTAGTAGTAGTAGTAGTAGTAGTAGTAGTAGTAGTAGTAGTAGTAGTAGTAGTAGTAGTGGTAGTAGTAGTAGTAGCAGTAGTATAGTAGTCGTCGTAGTGGTGGGTGGTTGTCGTAGTAGTAGCAGTCGTAGTAGTAGTAGTAGTAGTAGTAGTAGTAGTAGTAGTAGTAGTAGTAGTAGTAGTAGTAGTAGTAGTAGTAGTAGTAGTGTATTTGGTGATGTTCTGGTTATGAGATGACTGCTACTGTTACTAGATTTTGTCATCATTGCGATGAGGATTACTAGTATTTAATGTACCAACCGTTGTACTCATGATAGTAGCAGTAGCAATAATATGAACGACTGAGTACATTCCTTTATCATTCCGTAGGGCTAGAATATATGCCGAAACGCCTATTTTACATCTAAGGTTTGCCGTCAATACAGAGTCCTTTTTCTGGATACTTGAAAGGAGCCCTCTAAAGGAGCTCTCTTCAGAATACTGACGCCCGTACAGTAGCCGGCGGTTGAAGTTGCCTTCTGCCATCGTAAACCTTCTTGCGCCCTCAGAGAACCCCTATGGGTCCCTCATTATGAAAGGGGGTTTAGGGTTTATAGGGTTTAGGGCTTAGGGTTGTAGATATAGGGGCTTCAATCACTGGAATAGGGGTTGAGGGTATACTAGAATGTATTGTTGACGAGGAGCCCTCAGAAATGGCATCCGTGATTTTTCAGTCTCCTTTCTATTAAAGGCCTGAACCATTTGTGAGAATCTCCGTTAGCGTTTCTTCGTAAGATTTCATTACAACATGCCCAAAAATCCTATTCCAACAACTGTTCATGCCCCTGAAACTCTAAACCCTCAAAAACGCCGTATGGACCCCTTAACGGAACCCCTATAGATCCTCTACCCTGTATTGAAGTTTGAGCCATGGCATCCGCTGGCTCTTCGCCTCCGGCGCTCGCCGAGGATCCTTCGCCGCCCAGCACGCAGGATGCCTTCATCGATGCAGCGGGCCTGCAATTGGTCAGGGGCCAAAAAAGCACATACGCATAAGCATTTTAAAGGTGATATCCCTACCTGAATGGGCTTTATTATAAGGGGGTTTATATGGGATATCCCCATCCTAATTTTTGCTTATGGGATCCCTTGCAGAGCCCTTTAGGGATCCCCTTAAAGGGAATTGTTGCATTTTCAGAATAAGTAAGGTTAGAAGTAGGATAAACAACGGCCTGAAAAAAGCTACTTAGATCCCCAATACCCAACCTTTGAAAAATGGGTTCATATGGCTTAGTAGGAATCGGAAAGTTTAACCTTTTGTTTCTGTGGCTTATTGGGGAGTAAGGCTATCGATGCTGCTTTTTCGGACAAGGAGAGAGAATGCGTGGATCTGCCGCCAGACATCAGAGTACTCAGCATTTGCGAACCTTTTATGATCCCCGCGTAGGAATCCACAGGATGCCGGGGGTTTCTCTTTGCGCAGGTTCCCGCCGCAAGGCGCCACAGAGGACGAAGAGCAAGAACGCCTGGCATCGAGGAGGCAGATGGTGATAAGCGCGATGTCTGTCATGGAGAGCTCCCAGGCTTGACTTAAGAGACAGGTTCAACTAGTTTTAAGTAGTCCTACCGGAGCTCATGCGAAGTTCACACCGCCATGGTAGAAGCCAAGCCTAGGTACCGACGACAGCTTCATTCGTGCCGCACCTGCCTGGGCAGTGCTGTGTTGGTTCGGCCTAGCTCTCCGCAGGAGGAAGCTGGACCCAAATCACCTTTATTCCATGAGTTCTCAGGCCTGCCGAAGTTTAGGGTTTAGGGTTCGAATGCCAGGCAAAATGTATGCTGGGATCCCCTGGGCCACTCTTGATGTTTTGATGACATACTTACCGTTTTCACGGGCTCGTGCGCCCGTCCGCGACGATGACGAAGATGGTGGTGCCGGTGATGTCGATGATGATGATGATGATGATGAGGAGCCCTCAACATCCGCAACGATGGTCCCTGTTTTGGGGGTTCCTTCTATAGTAATAGTTTTATACACCCCAAAATATACTGTAGAACCCCATTATAGATCCAATTAAAGGACCCCTATTCTAATTATTAAGGCCACTACAACTACATCTGCAACGATGGCTCCTGCCCAGATCAGCACGACACCGCGCCCCCCTCCCCCCGAACTCCGCAAGCTGGGCCTCGTATGTAGGGGTCTTGATAGGTAGGGTTCCTGTTAAAGGGTTCTATAAAGGTTATTATAAGGGACTTATAAGGGTACTGTAATATAGGGGCCTTAACAATTTGAATGGGGTTCCGTTTAATGGGTTCTATAAAAGGGATGCTATTACCACAATATAGTAGCATTAATACTTGGAATAGTGCTTCGGGTCCCTTCTCATAGTAAAGAACTCCCATGTATAGGTATTTATTACGTTCTCCTAGGAATTTTGATTGGTTTGACGCCTGTGGCTACTGGGGGTTAGAGGGGGCGCGGGGCAAGGGTAGTCCGGGCAGGGAGGGCCCTATGATGGCTACTGGATCAACTTCTGATTACCTGACGTTGGCGGTGGCGACGGCGGCGGTAGAAGATGGGGTGCTCAAAATCGCCGGGAATCCTGATTTTCGGAAAGCCCCGTGTTGTTCAAGGCCTCGAATAAGTTGAGCTTGTAGTCATTTCTAATTACAGAAATCGGGCATACAAGCACGGTTGTTTTGTGGTCCTGCTCTCAGAGGACACACCAGAAGATTAATGTTGGAGTGGGATCAATATGCGTGCTAGTACACTCCGCGCCGTCTGCCAGTGGGTAGAAGTACTGCCAAGACTTCCTGCCATTGTCGCTTCCCTCTGTGGTCATCAATGCAGAGGTGGCTGTGCCGATGTCGTTGCCGCCTCGCTGGTCTCTAATGTAGTCCTGTGACAACATGGCCTATTCTAGCTACTGATGCTGCAGAGTTTATATTTCACTCACGAGAGGCTGTCCGCAGAGAGAAGCCATCACCGTATACTACAGAACCCTATCGTAGATCCCTTATAGACCCGTTTAAAGGAACCCTCTTCTAAATATTATGGCCCCTATATTAGACTTGGGGCTTCAGCGGCTCCACGTCTGCAGGTAGACTCCATCGATGAGTTCTGGTCGCACAGCTGGCACTGTTCGGGGCTTTTGAAGGCCAGCGGCCGCCCAGAACTTAATCAAGTGAGCCAGGCCAATGGACACTCGTGACGAAGCCCTATCAACCCCAGACCCTTTAGACACTGCAAATCATCGGAAACAAAGACCACAAGCTTGGCTGGCCCCGGCCAACTGAAGGGTGCTGGTACACTATCCAATAAGGAACAAAAGCGAACATGACGATACTGTGCCAACCATGAACTAGATAGGCTGCGCAACTTACAGGTGTGGCTGCTTCTCATGCTGAAGAATGGCCGCGCTGCTTGCTTGGGCGGCACGCTTGTGGCTGTGCTGGTCGCGTACCTCTCGTACGCAGACCTTCTACCAGGATGGCACCTGGGACTGTTTGGCTCATACCCAGAGAGCCCAATACCCCTTAAATAAGGAATATAGCCTAAATCATAGTATGAATCCCCTTATAGTTCAAGGTTTAAGGTATATTCCTTGATTAAGGGGTATTGGGCTCTCTGGGTAATTCGTCATGGCAAGGCTGCAGCGACTACGTCTGCCTTCGCTAGTGCATCATGCCTCAATGCCCTGACCCGACAGAACCCGACCCCCGGACCTTGATCAAACGAAAATTCATGACATATCGTGTTCCATCACCATCATTACCATCCTCATCGTCATCATCATGACCCCCACGACACGTGTCTGGGGATCATTTGCTATGTCACTACTATTCGCTTGCTAAGCTTGTGAACTACGACGACTAGCACAAGTTGTCAGCAACAGCGCAGTCATCAGTGGCATCCTCACTTTAACACCATGTAGAACCTGACACATTGCTCCGTGTTCCGAAGCTGCCTGATCGCAAGGTACAAAGAGCCAAGAATCCAGGGACCAGGCTACAGCGGAGAGCCTGCCGGCAGACATGGCGCACCTCATAATAGTTCCCTTTCGAACCCAACATTCGTAGACGTTGCTTCTGCAAGCATGTAGAGCCCCTACTTGGAGGTTCATGGGTAGTTATAAACAGGGTCATATGTCCGCTCACATGGGTTATAATCCTACTTGTCACCCTACTACTTATGACACACCATGAACCTCCAATTAGAGTAGGGTTTTGGGGTATATTCTATTATAACTAATGATCATAAGCAACCCCCCCAAATAGTACTGGTAATATTAAAATTAAGGCTCCTACATTATGGAAGGTATTCCTTGGTCCTTTGAAGCTTAGGTTCAGGTTCAGCCCCTGGTCAAATTTGAGCGGATGTGCTTCGGCCGTGCTGCTGCTGATCTTCTGGCAATCCTCGAGCAAGGCGGGGTGGCTCCTGGCAAGACTTTGGGGTTCGAAGCCTTTTCTAATTTCTGACAATTGGCGACAACAACAATCGAAATGAGAATAGTAGTTAAGAAAAGCCAATCGTAAGCCTTAGACCCCTTCATCCTTGGCCCCAGGATCAGACGATGACGGTGGCGGTAGGACCTGAATAGTCATCTTAAGCCCCTGAAGGCAAGCCCTACAAACCCTTTACAGCCCCAACAACCTTCTAAAGCCCTAAGAACCGTTTAAAAGCCTGGCAACCCGAATGGCCGAAATAATTGCCAACACTATTTTGGGGGTTCCTTACTGTAACTATAGTAACTATAGTGTAATGGGCCCCAAAACCCTAGTCTAATTATTAAGGCCCCTATATTAAGCCCAGAACACACAGGCATGGCCCAAGCTGAAGTGACTGAGGTCTTCCTGGATCGTGCCTGCATCCATCAAGGCAATGCCAGGCTGGGTTTCGGATTGGGGAGTCTAGGGTTTAGGGGGTTTTGGGGTTCAGGGTTTAGGGGTTCAGGGGTTTAGGGTTTAGGGGTTTAGGGGTTTTAGGGTTTCGGGCTTGAGGGTTTCCGGGTGTTAGGGTTAAGGCCTCCAGGGTTTGGGTTTTTGGGGTTTTGGGGTTTCGGGTTAAGGGTGTCCTGAAGCCAACGCGGGGCTTTAGGTGGGGGTGTGCCTTGAGGGTCTTGGGGTTCAGGGATTCAGTTTTAGGATGTAGGAGTTTCCGAAATAGGGGGGGACCCTGATCTAGTACCCTAAATAGTAGGATCCTAAAAAATAGGACCCCAAAATAAGGCATGGCTATCGTGGTTTTAGAGAAGCTTCAAGGGGTTCAGGACGGATTCGACACGAAACGCCAGAGTTCCCTCAGCCAAGACTTTGTGGTGCCCAACCTGCGCTTCAGAAGGATGCCATGAGTGTTTCACTCGGAGGCCCAGGTAGTACCCTTATTCCCTTTTTGTAATCCTAGGTTCCTTATAACGTTACCCAATACCAAAAAGGGAGCCCTTTTTATTCCTAGGTTACTGGGCATCCTAGTATATGAACTACACGAGAACCTCCAAGTAGTATAGGCAATTATTTAGGCCCGGGGTTATATGCAGGTAATTATATATATATATATATATATATATACATATATATATATACATATACATATACATGTATATGTATATGTATCTTTATACATATGTAGTTATCTATATGTGTATATGTTGGGCTTCTTCAGGGAAAACCAGGTAGGCGCAAGCTTGGAAGCTTCAAGACTGTAGCCGAAGACCTTCTCCTTTCCTATAAGTGGGGTTATAAGTGTTATAAGTCCTATAATGCGGGTTGTAACCATAGGTATCCTACCTGTAGCCCTTCTAACTGAGTCATGAACCTCTAGTTCTCGTCCTTCCCCTGCATCTTGCAAGCTCTCAAATAGAAGAAGGTTCAGGGATTATGATTAGGTGCGGGGTTCAACCCCTTCTGAAGCTCCTCACTTACTGCACCCTTTTCCTGCAGGTTGAAGGCCGAGGGCATCCTGAACCTGGGCGCCTTGCTAAAGAAGTCGCGGACCTTGGTGGTCGTGTGGGACCCCTCCTATCTCTCCAGGCCCGCTGCATGAAGAAGGGCTCTGTTGGGGCGTTTACAAAAGTGTTCCAGTGTTCCTTAGAGAGCTCTTTCATGGCGTCTGTACAGGGTTCTGCTAAGGTCTTGTGAAAGTAAGGATAGTGTTGCGGTGTGTTGAACAGGTTCTTTTGGTTTGGGAGGCTAGGGCTTCTTATGCTCAACACGTGACTCCCCAGAATAATAGCAGAGAGTAGTCAGAAACATAGGTCTCGCCACAATAATACTAGCTTGTGATAAAAGTATAGCAGGCATACTTGTATTGATAGTGTAGGCAGTACTGGTTACTGTTACACCCTACCTATGTGTACAGAATTTGATCCCGGACCTCAAGCCCTTCAAGTACCCCGCAACAAGGAGTAATTGATAAATGGAGCGACGCTAGGAATATTCATACTAGTATGAACAGTAACAAGCATATTCATGCGAAGTATATCAACATGAGGAGGAAGAGGAATACTAGCGGATCGGAAACGGTGATGATAATCACAGCAACGATAATACTAAAGTTACTGAAGATGTATACCAATATAACCAGATATAAAAATTTGCAACACCATATAAAAAGCTTGGTAAAATATCCATGAAAACCTTGCCTTTTCTCATACACCGTTTGGAAACGACACAGACCCTGGAAGATGTACTCTAAACCCTAAGCCCTGAACCCACCTAGGGATGGAGGCCTCCAGGAAAGCCTTCAGTGACTCAGAGGGGAACTTCAAGCCCAGAGAGCCCAATACCCCTTAAACAAGGAGAAAAGCCAACATCATAATATGAATCCCCTTATAATTTAAGGTAAATTCCTGAATTCAGGCATATAGCGTAAATCATAATATGAATCCCCTTATCGTTTAAGGAAAAAACTCCTTGATTAAGGGGTATTGGGCTCTCTGGGAGGAACTCCTTAAGCCTTGCAAGGCCTGAAGCCCGAAACCCAGTGCTCCGTTTAGCTGGAGCTGCTTGGTTTTTGGGGTTTCAACAGCATAGAACTTACCCTTGGTTAGTAGGGAATGGAAGAATGGTGGTAATAGTAGTTGTAATTAATTGTACCCCATTCCTCCATTCCCTATTAACCAAAGGTAAGAGAATTGAAACAGTTGGTTCAGGGGCTTACGTTTCAGGGCTTAGGGTTATAGGGGTTTGCAGTTCAGGATTTGGGGTTTCGGGGTTTAACCTTTTGGCATTGAGGCTGTGGTGTGTTTTCGAGCTTGCCGCATTTCTCCACGGTCACCGCGAAGAGCTTCAGACGAGCTTGATCATCAAGCCCACCGTTCTGGTGCCCATGTCCTTCATCATGACGACTACCGTTGCTCTCATGCTTCTCTTTGAAACGTGCCTCCCGGAAACACGTGAGGTTGCCTTCCTGCGGATATTCTTATTTGCAGTGATGCAGGTTCCTGAACTCTATCTGTTTCAGAAACTCTGGAAAACGGTCATGGACGCGGAGAAGCAGTTCGGCAGCTTCACATGGCAGAATGTCACCTGCCGCTGCTGTTCGATAAACCACCGCGACCCGAAAGGGAACGTCATTATTTGCGATAGGGAGCCTCGGTTGGTCTTGCTCAGGTGTTTATACAATCTCTTGGACTGCAAGGAATATGAAAGATAATCTAAAGGCCTAAATTATTACCAATACTTAGGGCTCTTTATACTATAAAGGGCCCCCAAACCCTGTTCTAATTATTAAGGCCCCTATATTAAAGCCTCTCCCTAAGCGGCTTTCTTGCCAAGGAGATTCTGGAAGAATGCATCGTCCAGTGGTACGGCTCCGTGAACCAGCTGGAGCTCAGCGTCCGTAGCGACGTGCGCAATGCCTTCATTGAGCAGGTGACCCGCTTCCCACTGGGGTATCAATGGCTGGCCGCTTGCTTGAGGACCAGTAGTACTAGCACGGTAGTAGTAGTATATAGTAGTAATTAGTATTATTGTTATTTTTAGTAGTAGCAGTAGTAGTAGTAGTAGTTAGTAGTAGTAGTAGTAGTAGTAGTAGTAGTAGTAAAGTAGTATTAGCAGAAGTAGTAGTAGTAGTAGTATTAGCAGAAGTAGTAGTAGCAGAAGTAGTAGTAGTAGTAGTAGTAGCAGCACTAGTACTAGTAGTAGTAGTAGTAGTAGTAGTAGTAGTAGTAGTAGTAGTAGTAGTAGTAGTAGTAGCAGTAGCAGTAGCAGTAGCAGTAGCAGTAGTACTAGTAGTAGAAGTAGTAGTAGTAGTAGTAGTAGTAGTAGTAGTAGTAGTAGTAGTAGTAGTAGTAGTAGTAGTAGTAGTAGTAGTAGTGCAGAAGCAGCAGCTGCTGTTATTGCTGCTTCAAACTCGGCGTGGTTCAACCCTGACAGAACAAAGCACTTGCACAAGCTCTCAACCCAAGACCCTGTTCCCATCATTAAGGGTCAGTATATGTCATTGTGGTCTCACTTTGATCTAATCTGACTACAATGTGTATGCCCCCAGCGCATCTGTGAAGGCCCCCGCTTAAAAGCCTTGATTTACCGTGAAGCCGACTAAACACGCAAAACCCGATGAACAGCCGTCTAGACACCTTTTCTGAAGCCACATAACATAGGGGCCTCAATCATTGCCAACACTATTTTGGTGTGTATATATATATATATATATGTATGTAATACAATGGACCCCAACACGCTATATGCTAATTATTCTATTTGTTGAGGCCCCTATGGTAAAAGCAGTCCACAGGTTGGGGTGCACATAGTGATCCTCTGGGGGCAGTTGGATCCCGTGGCGGCGGGAGCACATGGTGGCGCCTACAGCTTTGCAGCCTCGAAGATGATAGTTACCATAGCTTCCCAGCTTAAAAGTGTTCTTAGAGCCAATATTGCGCATTTTCACAGTCAAGGAACGTCAAAGCGTCAATAAAACTACACAGCATTTGTGGTTTGGTTGTACCAGTTTTAAAGTTTAAGGTTGCGCAAGCCCATCTGCTTGCGGGAACTCTAACTCGCATCGCGCCTTAGACTTTTGGGGATGACATGACTCTCTTTTAGGACCCGAAAATGTTAAGCCTGTTTGGCTTTAGGACCTGGGAAGCTAAGGCTTGGCTTCTGTGGATCGTGCCAGTGCATTATATCTTCGTCTTCCGGGTGTCTCACTGGATGGCGACCTGTCAATCGAGACCACTCCGCATGCGAATCTGCGCCGCTTGCGCCGGATGTGCAGTGATTGAGGTGCTTTCCGCTGCTCCCCACGTCCTGCAGGCGGCACTTTACCAAGCCATGCCGGAGGAGCCCCTGATCGCAGCTGGGACGTTTCTCGTTCCTGGGCCTTGCAAAGAGTTCTGAACTGTGATACATAAAAGAATTGTGTTGTGTGAGTTTTGTTGGTACGCTTCTACGAAAGAATGCAACAGCTAGTTTCAATAGGCCTCCAAGAACAGTTCAGGTTGTGACTCTTTGCCTGGCAGCCGTCGGCCGTCATGTGCTGACCCGGTCCTGGAAGGGAGGGCCAGAGACGGTAAGCCAGAAGTAAAGACTGCGTAGGAAGGTAGGCCCAGTTGGGGCGCCAGGGGAAAGGTTAAGTGTTGCCCAAGTTTAAGAGGTACGACTTTTCGGTGATTAGAAGGGGCCCCACCCTGTAATAGTGGTATACTAGGAATATAATAGGGCCCTAATATAATCCTTAATTATACTTATAGTCACTATTACAGGGTGGGGGCAGCTTCTAAGGTGCAGAGCCTGGAAGTTAAGAGGTCTACTGGTGCGATCGTGCCATCTTTGGCTTCGCCAAGGTTGCCAAAGCAAGCGTTCTTTTTTTTAAATGATGGGGTCCCCAAACGGGACCCCTAATGTAGGGGCCTTAATATTCGAAAAGTGTTGTGGCGGGTTCCTTATGATAAACAATAGTATAGTGGGGCCCCAAGACACCCTATTCTAGTTCATGTTGCTTCAGAAGGCACGGGCAGCATCGTGTCTTCTCAGTTCATTTGGGCCTGCCCAAAGAGACTCAGGACTAGGACTAGGGGCGATGGCTCGTCATGGAGCCTAGAGCAGTTATATACGGGGACGTCATTACCAATGAGGTGCAGACCTCCATAGTACACTGAAACGTCCAGGAACTGGGTCCCGGGTCGGGTCTGGGGGGACTTATGTTGGTCTGCGGCAGCTGTCTGAGCTGTCTGCGCTCGACCAAGTTTGATTCAAAGAGAGCGTTTCTGGGTAGGCATCTGGGTTCCCAGAGACTCCAATATCCCTTAATTAAGGAATAATCCGCTATAACTTAGGATCCCTAATATGATTTAAGGAAGATTCCTTAGTTAAGGGATATTGGAGTCTCTGGGTTGAGATCCCATGAGCGAACCCGGAAACCGAAGCGACCTAAGGGTTCGCTCTTACGGCTCGCCCCCGTTCCGTCAAATCCTCCTGCCACGCACGCAAGGCCTTTCCGAGCTGTGCGGTTTTCTCCATACTCGGAGGTTCATGGGTAGCTAGTTATAAGTAGGGTTATAAGTAGGAAAACTTTAGTAGTTGTAACCCATATTAAGGGGCTTGTAACCCCACTCATAACTACCCATGAACCTCCAAGAAAGCCCTGACCCCTATACCCTTATAGAGCCCCAGAGCCCTATAGATCCTTCAAAGGCACCCTTAAATGGAGCCCTTATAACTACCCATGAACCTCCAAGTAGATAGGGTCGACTTCGAGGGTCAAGTCAGTGCTTCCGGACAGACTCATGGTGGGAGTTTCCGAAAATGAGAGGTGGGTGGTTGTCAAAATTAGGGTCCCTTTTTGGGTACCGATTATAGTACGGCGCCTAATGTTTATGGTACCCCAAAAAAGGGCCCTTATTTTGACAACCACCCAGGTACCTTAAGCCTTTAAAGGGACCATTGAAGGTTTCCTTAAAGGGATCTATAAGGCTTATAAGGGTTCTATAAAGGGTTTGGGCTTTGGGGAGTTTCCGACAATTAGGGGTATACCGTATTTTGGCGTCCTTATAATGAGGATCCCACTGTTTAGGGTACTAGATTGGGGTCCCCTGTTTTCGGAAACTCCCTGATCCTAAACCCGAAAACCCGAATAGAACCCTATAGATCCCCTAAAGAAGCCCTTATAGGTACCCTTGAAAGGAACCCTTAGTGTTCCCTGTTTTCGGAAGCGCCCATGTGTTGCGGGGGTGGGGACCCGGGGGGGTCAAGTTCCCGAGGGACTCAGTGCCCCTCAAAAGGGATCGGGAGCCTTTTTACATCTGGGGGGGTTTCCGAAAATAGGGGACCCTAATCTAGTACCCTAAGTAGTAGGATCCTTATTACACGGACTCAAAACGGAAACCCCCGTAGTTAGATCCTCTTCAAAAACCCCTGGAAGGGAGGCGCAGTCTCAGACGTTGCGCCGAACTCCGAGTCCAGGGTTTCGGGTTTAGGGCTTTTTAGGGTTTAAAGAGGGTGAGGGCTTATAGAGGGTTTAGGGTTTATATAGGGTTTAGGGCTTCTTTGGGTTTAGGGTTCAGGGCTTATAGGGTTTTTAGGTTTTAGGGCTTGGGTTCTAAAGTTCCTTACTTTGCAGAAGCTTAAGAATGTCTGCATGAACTCTAACCGAGAGGCTGTCAGGCGAGCTCCGCAGCTTCTGCCATAACGTAAATACCTACACTATTCTGGTGGTCCTTTAAAAGGCTCCTTAAAGGGGTCTATAAGAGATCTATAGTAGGGTTCTATAATATAGGCACCTAAATAATTTGCTATACTATTTGGGGATTCCTTATCATATACTTCTAGTATAATGGGCCCCACAACCCTATTCTAATCATTAAGGCCCGCATACTAAACCCCCATGATACGCATTATAGCAATCCTTATAGTACCCTTGATCCCTTATAGTAACCCTTGTAGATCCCTTTAAAGGAACCTGTAATGGAACCCAATTACTAGGGCCTGTAGCCTTATAGATCCCTTGTAGTAACCCTTATAGACCCCTTTGAAGGAACCCTTGATACTAAGGCCCCTAAATTCACCTTCGGAGAGAAATCCCAGGATCCGGGGTCTGCTCAGCCGGAACTGAAGAGCTTGTGAGGAAGAAATCTGCGCGCGTTGCAGAACCGAGAGACAGAGACACACAGACCGAGACACAGACACAGACACAGACACACACACACACACAGACACACACACACACACACACATAAACACACACACACACACACACATACACACACACACATAAACACACACACACACACACACACACTCACACACACCCATACCTCTGGATCCAGAACGCGTCGGAATACGGGCCCGCGTTTTTCAAGTAAACCAAGCGTTTTTTTGGCATGTTCTCAAGGATTTGTAAGGATAAGGTATGATAAGGTAGTATCGCTACTTGTAAGCGTTGATCTTGACGGGTTGAGAGTCTTGCTGTACCTGGTCCACATGCTCTTATATATGCATTGATGGATGGTCGGTCGGATACATCGATTCCTCTGACTTCTCGTTGCCAAGAAACGGTTTACATCACGTCATAATGAAGTAACTCCGTCTGTAGTGATATGTTTGATGTTTGGTGTGTTTCACTAAATGGTAGGTGATAGACCTAGTCATGCAGTAGAGCTAGAGTTTGGGGTATCGGGAACCAAATCCTCCTGTCAGAGTATTCAGGACTGCGGACGGTGGTATCCTTTTCGGTTCGGTTATATGGCATATGGTGGTACATGCACATGCGGGCGGCTCATGTTACCACCGGAGCGAACAGCAAGAAGCCGAACACTTCTCCAGCCCAGAACTGATTTGTTGTGCTCCGAAAAATTTTCCAATTAAGCGGCAGCATGTACAAGTGTAGTACTAGGTAGTAGTTTTCGCGGATACCAACGGTGAGCAGCCGGCGGGTTTGACGCTTAAAGGGCTCATAGATTCAAGTTTGGCCTTGGGGTGATAAATTTTCAGGCATGCGGACAAACAGCCTGGCGTTCCCTTCGACAATCATCGTGCATCCCGCTCGGGACTCTCTTGTTGTCAGTTTACGGAGTTTGGACCTGCGACTCCCAACTTCGGAGCCATTGCATCGATCGGGGTGGGTAAAACGAGGCTTTTCACGACAATCACGGGTAATCGGGGGTCCCAAGACCCTGGTTACTGGGTCTTTGGAAACCCAGGGTATATGTATATATTGTATGTATATATATACATAAAAAACACATAACGGAGAGAGAGAGAGAGAGAGAGAGAGAGAGAGAGAGAGTGAGCGTCATCTATAATATGATAGTTGTATAAATATATACATATGTATAAAAGCATGCTTGCAGTACGATTTATAAAGAGCGAAAAGCCACGGAGCTGTTTTGCGAGTTCTTGGCTCAACAAGCCGTGGCGTGAGAGGAATTCTGGCGTCGGTAGAGCTGCTGCTTTGATCCATGGTATCCGTTGGTCCTTCGCCGCCGCTCATCGATGATCCTTTGCCGCCCAGCAGGCAAGATGCCTGCTTCGATGCACAGGGCCTGCAAAACGCTATCGACGACGCCGCAGCTTCTCCACACTTGGAGAGGGAGTCCTCGTTGGATCTGCCGCTAGACATCAGAGTACGTACATAGATACATAGATCCTAAACCCGAAACCCTAAACCCGATGTATATTGTTTTTTTGCTTCTTAGGGCCTAGGGTCGGATCCCAGAAGACGCGTAGCCCAGGTTACCGCCTCGATGCGCCAAAGAGAACCAGGGCCAAGAGCACATGGCATGGAAAAAGCAGCTGGTGGTAAGCGCTGTGTCTGCCATGGAGAGTTGCTTGACTTGACTTGGGAGTCAGGTTCAACTGGTAACGGTAGTAGATACAAGTACGATCACATTACAGTAACAGTCCTACCTGAGCTCAGGTGAAGGTATCATGTCCATGTTGTGAGCCAAGCCTAGGTACCGACGACAGCTTCATTCGTGCCGCACCTGCCTGGGCAGTGTTGAGTTGGTTCGGCCAAGTTCTCCGCAGCAAGAAGATGGACGCAGATGACCTTTACTCCATGAGTTCTCAGGCCGGCAGAAATACTGCTTGTCAGTACTTATGCTTTGCCTTATGTCATGTGGGAGTTTCCGAAAATGAGGGGGACCTTATTTTGGGGTCCTTATAATAAGGATCCTACTATGTGGGGTACTAGATTAGGGTCCCCTATTTTCGGAAACTCCCATGTATCTACGGCTTGTATGATTCGAGCACTTACGAGATGACGACGCTGATACCGATTCAGGCGATGATGCTGAGGAGCAGGAGGGGGAGTAGGAGCAGAGCAGCAGGAGCAGGAAGAGCAGGACGAGCGGAGGGGGAGGGTTGATGATGCTGGTGGTGGGCGCCGCTGCGCTGCTGGTACTGCTAATTGTATGACTCCGTTGGTGGTAATGATAATGATGACGCTGATGGTGTTCATGGTGTTGATGGTGATGCCGGTGATCAGAAAAAGTGGCCACAATGAGCTCGATGTGTTAAGAAGCAAGAAGCAAGGTCATGATAGCACTGACAACTGTGCAGATACCGAAAGCAGTCAAGCAGGCATCTGTTACTGGCAGCTGGCAGTGTTAGCCCTGCAGTAGTAAGTATTCAACACAACAACCATCATTAACATATAGTTTCAGCGACCTACATCTATTAATTACCGGTATCATCTGGCCGTCTAGCTGGGTCATGTCTACATGGTGCTGCAGGTTCGGTTGTGATTCTTCGATAGCCAATGGGGGAATTTTAGGCTCTTTTAGAAAGATTGAGCTTTTCTTGGCTCGTTTATTGAAGATGAGAGAATTTTCCATATATCAGGTTCAGAAAGTGGGGGACTGAAACAGGGACGCTACACAGATGCTTGCTTTCTAAATCCCCTTAGTTCCTGGTTCTTGATGTTCTGGAACCTCCTTGTGGTTACAGGTTTGAGAACTGGAAGGTTTAGTGGTTGGGGTCATGGCGTTTGGGGTCAAACCAGCAGTATTGTAGAAGCTTGTTTTCTTTTCTCGAACCATCCGCAGTAGTAGTGTTCTTACCGTTAAGCTACTTGGTCTTGCCTGGTATCGCTAGTTGTATTCAAAAAAGACGTACCGACGCACCAGAAGCAAAGATAGCAGTTTTTTTCGCCGTCCTGCACTCACAGGACACACCAAGACAGTAAAGTTGGACTGTGAAAGATACGCATGCTATTGCACACCGCTCCAGCTGCTGGCGGGTAGCTGTGCCAGAACTTGCTGGAACAGTCACTTCCGTCGTCAATTCTGTCGGTGCGGTCGCTGGGCTCGTGAAGTGCAGAAACACAGTCTCCGGCTCAGATACCTAAACCCTAAACCTATAGGTTTCACCCGAAAGGGCTGTCGGCAGGCAGAAGTGAGCACTGGAGTTGGGTTGTTGTTGCCGCTTCAAACCTGATCCCTTATAGACCCCTTTACAGGGAACCCAATTATTAAGGCCCCTAAATCATAGTACCCTTATAGTAACCCCATAAGAACCCTTATAGACCCCTTTAAAGGGAACCCTATTCTATTTATTCAGGCCACTATACTAGACTTGGGACTTCAGCGGCTCCACGTCTGCAGGTAGACTCCATCGATGAGTTCTGGTCGCACAGCTGGCGCGGAGTCGTGCTTTTCAAGGACGGGGGCAGCAAAGCAAGCAGTAATGGGTGAATGAACAGCAATGAAGCCCTACCCTACATCTCTTTGACACTGCCAAAGAGCTTCAGAAGCAGCGGACGCTTAGAACACATCCGACTAGAGACGGCCCAATGTAGAGGCGACCCTGGGTAGTTAACAGTTCTAGACTATTCGGGCTTCTATACTCGAGAGGTTCCAAACGCGTGTCTTCCTTGTGAGGTGTCACGGAAGGTTCTCTAGCAGTTTGATGTTGGATGGTCACACGGACACGGGAGGACGTGTAGATTAGTGCGGGGGATGGTGATCAGCGGTGGTCACATCTAGCTTGATGCAGCCCTCCTTGAAGACTCCATTTTTGTAGGCTTCTAGAGTACTGCAGGCTGTTGGACCGTAGATCCCCGGATGCTTCGGTGTTGGCTTCTTCTGTTTCCTGAGGTCCATGGTCTTCGAGTGGTTATGTTGGCGCTGTGGAGGTTTCCAGTCATTCGGAACCTAACACCTTCGCCCCAATGCCTAAAAGACTCAGTTTAACGATTTGGACTTCGGGTTGTGGGCACAGACGACCCTTAATCCTTAGTTATACGTAAACAGTAGCAACAATCGTAGAGACAAATGCGCGAATTGTAGGAATACCGAACAAGCATCTTGATGTCCTATCTCGCACAAGCCCTATCTGCCGATGCAGATCCTGCGCCTCTCCCGAGGTTCCCACTCTTCGCCTCATATAGAAAGAAGCCTAATTTGTAGTAGCTAATTATGTTCTTTCTTTGTAGTCCCCTTAGTGATAATTTAATTATACTCTTCCTTTGTAGTGCGCTTAGCAACAAGTAGATTCTTCCTTTGTGTGGTCCCCAGTTTTTTCTACTTCTAGTATAGTGTACACCACAGCCCTTTGCTAATTAGGTATATTCAGGTCCCTATTCTAGACTTAAGGCTCTTCCTGTACTTCACCCTTGCAGGTCTGGCTGCTTCTCATGCTGAAGAATGGCCGCGCTGCTTGCTTGGGCGGCACACTCATGGCTTTTCTCGCCGCATACCTCTCGTACATGGACCTTCTACCAGGATGGTAGCTCGGACGATCGGGTTTTCGCTTGGCAGTAACCCTAAACCCCTAACCCCAAACTCTAAACTTCAGACCCTAAACCCTGAACCCTAAACCCCAAACCCCTTTAAACCCCAAACCCTAAACTTCCTAAACCCTGAGCTGCAATCTGACGGCACGAACTGCTATGCCGACGGCGTCTAGCTTAGTGCATCATGTCGTGTCCCGACCTAGACCTAAACCCGATGCAAATTCGGGGCCCAACAGAACCGGTTTAGGGCTTAGGTATTGGCGTGGTTTTCAAAACAATCCAGATGACATCTCGTCCTTTCAATAGCTTGGCCAGTGCTATTATCACTGTTGCCGCTGTTGCCAGTATGATTTTTTTGATCACCAGGACGGCTACCGCTTGGATTGTTTCTTGCTGTGGCACTCCTACCGTACCATGTCGTAGTTGCTACGATCTAGCTGCTAGTCCGGTAGTACTCCAATCAACGCTGCCATGGCGATCAGCTTATCTATACTATAATCGCTGTCGCAACAATGAAGGCTATCTCGATTGTTGTTGGCACCGCTGTGCGTGATATTGTTAGCATTGTTGTTATTAACAGCCTCACGACCTAGTGTTGCTATCACTTACAGTGTTTGTAACATACGCATCTGTGCACACGTTTGAGCGTATACATACGTACATGCGTACATTCACAACAGCGGTTCAATAATGTCATGTCTATATGTTATGTGCCTACACACACCGAAAGACAGAGATAGTAATTGCGCGTACTGCTTGACTACTACTACTACTACTACTACTACTACTACTACTACTACTACTACTACTCCTGCTGCTGCTGCTGCTACTACTACTGGTACTACTACTCCTGCTGCTGCTGCTGCTGCTACTACTACTACTACTACTCCTGCTGCTGCTACTACTACTACTACTACTACTACTACGACTACTACGACTACTACGACTACTACGACGACGACGACTACTACTACTACAACTACTACTAGTACTACTACTACTACCACTACTACTACTACTACTACTACTACTACTACTACTACTACTACTACTACTACTACTACTACTACTACTACTATACTACTACTATACTACTAACTACTACTAGTACTAGTAGTACTGCTACTGCTACTGCTACTGCTACTGCTACTGCTACTACTACTGCTACTACTACTACTACTATACTACTACTATACGTATACTACTACTACTATATACTTCTACTACTATCACTACTACTACTACTACTACTACTATACTAGTACTATACTACTACTACTACTACTACTACTACTACTACTACTACTACTACTACTACTACTACTACTACTACTACTACTACTACTACTACTACTACTACTGCTGCTGCTGCTACTACTACTACTACTACTACTACTACTGCTTCTACTACTTCTACTACTACTACTACCACCACCCACCACCACCACCACCACCACCACCACCACCACCACCACCACCACCACCACCACTGCTACTGCTGCTATACCGCTGTTGTTACTGTTGTTATGTTACTGTTGTTACTGCCACGACTGCTACCTGCTGCTGGCACCATGTAGGACCTCACATGTTGTTCCAAAGCTTCCCGATCGCAAGGTACAAAGAGCCACGAATCCAGGGACCCGGCTACAGCGGAGAGCCTGCCGGCACAACATGGTGCAGCTCATAGATTCTCTTTCGAACCCAACATTCGTAGACGTTGCTTCTGCATTCATGAAAAGCACCTTTGGAAGGAGCTCGGTTGGTCCTTTGAAGCTCAGGTTCAGGCTCAGCCCATGGTCGAATTTGAGCGGATGTGCTTCGGCCGTGCTGCTGCTGATCTTCTGGCAATCCTCGAGCAAGGTGGCTTGTGGAAAGACGAACCCGTTATTCTCGGCGAAAGTTTGAGTCATACGGGCGACGACAATCAAAACAAGCATGATGACGGCAGTGGCAGGACCTGAGTAGTCGTCATCCTAAGCCCCCAAAAACCCTAGAACCCCTACACCCTGAGGACCCAAAAGCCTAAACTGGCTCAGAAACCGGACATGGTGAGACCTTGAGTGACAAGGTCTTCCTGAATCGTGCCTGCATCCATCAAGGCAATGCCAGGCGCTTGCATTCGGTAAGAGAGGTTTCAGGTTCAGGGCTTGGGGGTTTAGGAAGGGTTAGGTTTATGTAATGGAGGTTAAGGTATCGGGCTTGGGGTTCAGAGCTTCGGGTTTAGGATTTAGTCTTTATGTAAGAGAGGTTATATGATGGGACATACCAACCTTAGGGTGTGGTTTAGGCGCTTCTTGGGGTCCCAGTAGCATACTTGAAGACTGGGTTTTGGGGACATTAGGGTTCAGAAGTTTCGGTGTCGGGTGGCTTCGGTTTTCGGTATATTGGGGCATGACTCCGGAATCTCGGGATGTAGACCCAAGCCCTTAACCCTAAACCCATTGACGCTCTTCCAATAATAGGTGTCCGCGTTCCGCGGTCCCAGCACCAACCGCATTATTTCAATGGTATTACACCGACAGGAGAAAGGGGGATTGCTGAGTGACTTTGCCCCTATCCTGCCCCTATCCTGTTTGCAGCGCTTGCGGCGTGGCGTTGCCCCTATCCTATTTGCAGCGCTTGCTCTGCGGCTTTGCCCCTATCCTGTTTGCAGCGCTTGCTGTGTGTGCTGCCGTGCGCCCTCCCCCCTTGAACCCAAACCGCATTTATTTTTGGATCGCTTATGGGAGTTTCCGAAAATTGGGGGTTACCTGATTTGGGGTCCTTATAATAAGGATCCTACTGTTCAGGGTACTATATTAGGGTCCCCTTTTTTCGGAAACTCCCATATAATAAGAACCACGGAGGCTCTCCCCTGGCGGGGAAGCGGAGGAGGGGTCCCGGGATCGGTGGAATGCTGACGCACATCAAGCCCCCCAAAATTGAAGAGACTCCACCTTTTTGGGGACGTTAAATATGAGGTGCCGTATTATAATAAGGACCCAAAAAGGGACCCTAAGACTGACAAAAACCCAAGCAAGCAAAGTCTGACATCATATTGCCGATCCCACTGTCTCTCAGGGTATGTCCCTTACCTTAAAGATCTTGCAGACTATTGCAGACTGCTGTGGTTACAGAGCTCTCACTTACTGCACCCTTTTCCCGCAGGTTGAAAGCAGAGGGCATCCTGAACCTGGGCGCCTTGCTAAAAAAGTCTCGGACGCTGCTGGTCGTGTGGGACCCCTCCTATCTCTCGAGGCCCTCTTGGGGCTTTTTCTTGGGCTCCTGGTGCGCTTAGAGAAGGGATCTTCAAGCGTGTGAGTGTAGCGGCCTTAATGATTCGAACAGGGTTTTGGGGACCATGATACTATACTCTTATACTTCAGCAAGGTCTTTATATAGTCGGGAAGCTTTTTTCAAGGGCTCTTTGGTGGTGTCCTTGTGAGGTGTGTTTTGCTTCGGTCGAATGGCATGGCAGGGGAAGTCAGGGCTCCTCGTGCTAAACCCTGACCCTCGAATAACAAAGCGCATGAATTACGAAGAAGATTGAACATGGCATCATGTGTTGATCTCGTAGTGATTATATGTACATATATATACACGATGTAATCATGAGGATTTGTTAACAAACGCGCTGATAGTGACAATGTAACTAGTATTGGTGAAAAAGACACTACTCACATGGGAGTTTCCGAAAATAGGGGACCCTAACATGGTACCCTAAATAGTAGGATCCTTATTATAAGGACCCACCCCTGATTTTCGGAAACTCCCACAGTGCATTGACCGTGAACAATGCTTCACACCCGGACTTTAAGGCTCCCGGAAGGATGCAGAAGTCTGACATTTTTCGGGTTTAGGGTTTAGGGTTTAGGGTTTCCTGTCTGAGGTTTTTGGGTTTGGGGTTTAGGGTGTTGTGCTCGTCCATCACCCACCAGATGCAGCCTTGGGCTGGAGTCTCCTTAGGAATTATTTATTACTTTTTCTTCACATCAAACACAAGAGAAGATGAAGACTCATGTTTTTATTATGGTTCTAATCTAGGCCCTCCCTGACCAATCCGCCTCGAAGTTCGTGCTGCAAGCATTTTTGCATGCTGTCTCGACTTGTTGTCTCTCGGTGCTTGCACACACACTGCTGGCTACCCTAGCACCCCCACGCATCCGCAGATGTGTCGTTGATGTTACCCTGCTATGTCGAGTTCACTCTTGTTTGCGTGAAAGAGATGTTTGCTCGGAACCACTTGCAATCAGGGGGGTGTTCCCCTCTTTCTCTTGCCACCGGCCTTTGGATTTGGGCCTAGGAGGCAGCACGCACAACAGCGAGGCAGCACGCGTGCCCGAGACAGCACGTTTGCAGATGATCTAGCGAAAGCCAGGGCACGCAGCCAGCCTTCTCAACCTGTGAAGCCATTTGCACTCGGTGCTGGTCTCCATTCCTGCGCTGCGCAGGTGGCTGGCCTGCTGCATGCCACCTCGTCGTCTGAGCGTCGTCTCGGCGTGCGCGCGCTTGCACTGTGCGGAAGCGCGTCTTCCGAGGCAGCACGCAGTCGCCACAATCGAGGCAGCACGCATAAAATCAAGAGTGGCTTCGCGAAAGGATGGTTTAAGGGATTGCGCGGCCTTGCAAGGATAATTGCATTCCACCTCAGTAATTTGCTGTCGGATGTTTGCTAATTAGCACACATCGGGCCCCAATCGGGTCAGGCGACACGCAGACAAATGAAACAGCCCGCAATCACCGAGACAGCACGCTCGGGTCCGCAACGGATGTGAGGCAGCACGCAGAACGGGCGGGTATGCCTGAGGCAGCACGTTCACCTCAATCTCAACACGCAGGCCCCGCCTGTCCTTTTAAAATGATCAACTGCAGAGGAACGGAAATCCAGGCCTCGACTGGTTTCGAAGCTGGTTCGTGGACCCAAGCTCTCAAAGCAACAGCAATGTTTTTACAGGCTGAAAAGATGTAGGCAGAGACAGAGAAACTGCATGGCAAGGAAAGACATGTTCATCACATCTGCAGATGCATGGGGGTGCTAGGGTTCGAAGCACAGCCAACACTGCGTGTGCAACCGAGAGACAACAAGTCGAGACAGCATGCAAAAATGCTTGCAGCACGAACTTCGAGGCGGATTGGTCAGGGAGGGCCTAGATCTAAGGGGGGTACAATGGGCTCTAATCCCTAAACGCGCTGAGCATTTGAAGTACCCAGCGCCCTTGACGCAGGAATACTTAAAAATGTGGGTTATAGCTATAGTTATCCTACTTATAACCCTACTTATCACTAACCATGAACCTCCAAGATAATGCCCCAATACCTGTCAAAGGCCATTATTCTACATGATGTTGCTTTGTCATAGTTGGGTAACATGTTACATGTTTATAGGTGCTTAACCCCAATAAGGAACCAACAAATTAAGTTGTTAATCCTAACCCGACCATGAAACATGTTTTTAGGTACCTAACCAATAAGGAACAAAAAATTGAATCTTTAATCCTATCCCATGAACTAGGTTGGGGTCCAGGTAAGCTCTGTACAGCTCTCATCCTCCGACGAGTGTAAGGCGGCCAAGACCCGAGAAGATCCAAAAAGTAGATCCCTTAAGGTGGGTTCCTATAAAGTACCCTTAGTAGGATAGGGCCCCAAAATAGGGGATCTACTTTCTAGATCCTTGCAGATGTACTTTAAACTGCCTTGAACCATAAGAATTGAATCATAATAGGATCCCGGATATGGTTGAATGTGTATTCCTTATAATTAAGTACCATGACTTACTTGTTTGTAGGTTCCATGTTGAACCCTAATGTAGAACTTATGTATAGGGACCCTACAAAATCTAGCTTTTGGTAGGTTGGGGTAGGGAAGGAGGCAGTCAACACAGCTTTCAGTGAAACAGAGCCTGAACAGCAAAACTATGTATGTGCATCACCTCCAATAGTCAAAAGCCCCATGAACGCCCTAAGCCCGAGAACCAATCCTACAGTAAGCGATGTTTATATCAAACCGATGGCAAAAAGCGCTAAGACTGAAAGAACTTTTTCAGGGGCTTCCGTTTCAGGGCTCTGGGTTTAGGGGTTTGCAGTTCGGGATTTGAAGCTTCGGGGTTTAACCTTTCAGCGTGCAGGCTATGGTGTGTTTTCGAGCTTGCCGCATTTCTCCACGGTCACCGTGAAGACCTTCAGACTAGCTTGATCATCAAGCCCACCGTCTTGGTGCCCATGTCCTTCATCATGACGACTACCACTGTGCTCACTCTTCTCTTTGAGACCTGCCTCCCGGATACGGATGAGGTTGCCTTCCTGCGTATATTCTTGTACGTATTGGTGCAGTTTCCCAATATCTATCTGTTTCAGAGACTCTGGCAGACAATCACGGAAGCGGAGAAGCAGTTTGGGAACTTCTCATGGCAGAAGGTCACCTGCCGCTGCTGTTCGTTAAACCACCGGGACTCAAAAGGCAACGTCATTCCTTGCGACAGGGAGCCTCGGTCCGTTTTTGCGTTGACCGATATCGGGAAAACCCATACATGCCATACTTCCATAAGTAAGCTGCAGGGGATTGAGAGCTTTGCTGTATAGTTTACCATCGTATACAAACTATTTGGACTGAAGGCCCATGCTTAACCCCAAGTTTAATCCCAGAAGATTCTGGAAGAATGCATCGTCCAGTGGTACGGCTCCGTGAAGCAGCTTGAGCAAAGCGTTCGCACGGACGTGCGCGATGTTTTCATTGAGCAGGTGACCCGCTTCCCTCTGGGGTATCAATGGCTGGCCGCTTGCTTGAGAACTACTAGTGACTAGTGGGCAGTTAGTAGCATTATGCACCCAACATGTGCTGGCAAAATGCACCCAACTAGGCGAACATGCGATCACAACATGCACCCAACTTAGTGCCTGGCCACGTGCCTATGTGCGTGCACTCTCCTGGCATTTCCTGCGCAGACCTCGCCTTAGCGGGCATTGTGCCGGGCAAGCCCGTTGCTGTGAGGCAGTGTGTGGGGTATTTTGAGAAAGGCCGTGTGCGGCACTTGCGCGGGCATCTTCTCTAGGGAAAATGGCCGCAATGCCCGCACAGGCCTTGCCAGAAAATGCCCCCGCGCACCCGGGCACGCACACAGACTCACAGACACACGCACCCAAACCTCCGCGGGAACCCCCGGAGCCCACGAATGCCCGCACAAACTGTGTGGGTCCATTCTTGTGCATTCGTTCCGTAGTTCCGTTGACTGCCTGGTGGTGCATCCATTTTTTTATATGCATCCGTCCGACAGCTTGTTTCTGCGTCCATTCTTGTGCGGGCATTCTGGGGCCTCGTGGGTCCATTCTTGATTTCTGCCGTTGTAGCTGGATATAACGTCATGTTTATTAAGGCCCTTACAGAACCTATTAGGGTGGTTGTCAAAATGATGGTCCCTTTTCGGGTCCCTAGTATAATACGGCGCCTAAGATTCAGGGTACCCAACAAGGGGCCATAATTTTGACAACTACCCATTACTTGGAGGGTCGGGGGGACTTAGTGACTGGCTATTTTACGGACATATATATGATAATATGTACCATACCCCCAATTAGGGTCCCTTTTAGGGTACTTATAAGTCTACTTACTACCTACTTGCTAAGTCCTCAGACCCTCCAAGTAAGAAGCTAGGTAGTATTATTAGGGAGACCCCTTAAAGGGCACCCCTCCTGAACCCTACTTGGCCCTACTTCTGGCTCTCTTAAAAGGGCCGTATTGAGAGGGTCTATATCCCCAAGGGTCCCCCTAATCCTAACTCCCAGAAGCCAGTCATCAGGTTGGGGTGCACATGGTGATCCTCTGGGGGCAATTGGATCCCGTGGCGGCCCGGGCACATGGTGCTGCCTACAGTTTTGCAGCTTCGAAGATGATAACCACTATCGCTTCCCGATTGCAGAGTAGGTAAGCTTTAAACATCTTGGGGTTTCTACAACTCCATTTAAGCCAGTGCTGCGCCTTTTTCAGGAGATGGGAATCTAAGGCTTGGCTTCTCTGGATCGTGCCAGTGTTTTTCCTCCTCCTCTTCCGGATAACGCACTGGATGACGATGTGTCAGTCAAAGCCAATCCTGCTGCGAATCTGCGCCAGTTGTGCCGGGTATGCTATGGTTGTGGCAAGTTCCGCTGCTCCTCACGTCCTTCAGGCGGGACTATACCAAGTCATACCTGAAGAGCCTCTGCTCGTAGCCGGGGCATTTCTAGTTCCCCGGCCCTTGTTGAAAATCATTGTTCACTTCATCAGAGTCTAAACCCTGAACCCCATAGCATACTATTCTTAAGAAGCCATGATGTAGGGGCCTTAATGATCAGAATAGGGCTGTTGGGGGCTCCTTGTTGCAATTATAGTACAATCGAACCCCCCAAACCCTATTGAAACGATTAAGGCCCTTATAGAAAGCCCCCATAATTCCCCTGTATGGTAGCCCTTTTTGAAGACCCCTTTGAAAAGGAACCCTTTTAAGGGAGCCTTCTAATCATTAAAGAAAAGCCGATGCGAGCCCAGGTTTCGACTCTTCCCCTTGCAGCTGTCAGCCGTCAGCTGCTGACCTGGTCCTGGAAGCGAGGGCCAGGGACGGTAGACAAGCTTTAAGAACGGGGCCCCATATTTGAGCTGTTCTAAGAGTGGGTATCTGTTCATAGATATGGCTGTTGACTGGAAGATTTTTGAAAGAGTGTGCCTTATCTGAAGACTGCGTAGAATAGTCGTGTCACTTTAGGAGTTAGACTTTAGGGTGCGTATGAACTTGACATGAGGGTGTGCTGCATCTTTGGTTTCGCCAGGGTCCCCAAAAGGGAGCCCTTGATATTGGTTCAGAAGGCACGCAACATCGTGTCTGCTTGACAAGCATGTGTCTAGTTCACTTCTCGAGCGGGACCCAGACTGCTCAACAGGCTAACTTTGAATACATGGCAAATGGTGAGAGTTCAATAAATAGAAGAGGCTTATGGGGCATATTGTGGCTTACTTTTCTAGAATTAGATCATGTTTTACCCGCACTTCAGACCGCGATATTCAGCGCGAGCTCCTGGGTCCCGGCCTGCTGCGCAGAATTTCTACAGGGGCCTTAATAATTTCCTACATGATTTTGGGGGGCTCTTTAATGTAATTATCGTAGAATGGGCCCCGAAACCCCGTATTCTAATCATAAAGGCCCCTATATTGTAGTCCTCTGAAAGATCCCTCATAGTAGCCCTTATGGACCCCTTTACTGTAAAGGGAACCCTATTCGAATTATTAAGGCCCCTCTAGTACGCCTAAGGGAGCTGCCTGCGGTTCAAGCACCAACTGCGGTGCAGGGACAACGTTTCTGGGGCGGCAACCAGAGACTCCAATATCCCTTAATTAAGGGATATATTCCTTTCTTTTGTAGGATCCCTCATATGATTTAAGGAATAATGTGTTCCTGTGTTTTAGTAGGATCCCTCATATGATTTAGGGAATACTCCTGAAATTAAAGTAGGATCCCGAACATGATTTAAGGAATATTCCTTAATTAAGGGGTATTGGAGTCTCTGGAAAGTTCTGGGTTGACTCCCATGAGCGCCGAAACCCGAAGCCACCTAAAGTGATCGCAAGGCTGAATCCCGGCGGCTTTCCCCCGGTCCGTGAAACCCTCCAGGCGGACGCACAAATTGCAGAGGGGGGTGAGTGGAGGGGGGCTGGCCAAGAACCTGAGGGACCACTAGGAGTATAGGGACACGTTTCTATCGCATAGTTAGAAAAACTCTAAACCTGACCAGGGATGTGAGCCACACACTCTTGATCTAGAGGCCTTACTAGTTACCTATACTACTTTGCTATAGTATAAGTGGTCCTGAAGGAATGAATCTCAAGCGCGGACCTTGCGGCGAGCGTTTTTTGGCTGACAGACAGACTCCGGGTTCAGGGTTTCGGATTGTTGAGTTCAGAGCTCCGGGTTTTGAAGAGGGTGTAATAGAGGGGCCTAAGTAACTACCTATATATATATATATATATATATATATATATATATATACTATTTTGGGGGCTCCTTATTATAATTATAGTATAATGGGCCCCCAAACCCTATTCTAATCATTAAGGCCCCTATATTAGGGTGTCTACGTAAACAATATTTGTCCGAGCTCCGCTTGCGAAGGAAATCCCGGGATACCGGTGTCTGTCGCACAGCCGGAACTGAAGAGCGCACGAGGAAGAAAGGGCGAACTGTTCAGAGCCTGGTGTAGGCCTTCCTGCCCTTCAGAATTTCGGGTTTACGGTTCGCGGTTTGGGGTTTAGGGCCTCTGTCAGGGGTTTATGCACCAAAACGGTTTTGGCAAAGCTAATTACGCAAAGGTTCACGAGGCATGCAACTTGTCCAAAGGCCGATAGAAGCTTAGATGACAGAGATCTGAGATCAGTTGTAAGTTCGCCAGCACTCAGGTTCATGGACTTCGGAACTAGCTTTTGTCATTTAGGGCTCCGAATAATTCTGGTTCCTTCTTGTAAATATGTGACACGATTTCTTTCCGGCAAGCTGTTCTAGCTACTCAGCCCCTTACATTATAGAGATTATAGCGTGTTTCCCATTGAGCTGTTTGTTTTGCTTTGGGGTGTTGTGGCTGTTGTTGCTGTGGGAATCATGCTGAATGAGATAGCCATCATTATCATTATCCCAGCTACGTTCCCGAGCATGATAATCTAGAGGCCTTCATGATTGGAATAAGGTTTTGGGGTATTTAGATTATGCCATAGTTATTCTTCTGAGCCCCCAATCAGTATTGGTAATCATGTAGGCCCCTATATTAAATCTTATCACAAACTGCATGCTCCATTCCGAGGCAGCTCGGCCAGAAGCGTCAACTGAGACCTGTGCTGAGCGCAAGTTGGATACGGCAAAGCCCGAGAAAGCAGCGACCCGCCAGCAGCCCTAAAGCCTGAGGAGTAACTGGGTGGTTGTCAGAAGATAAACCTCCGTCCACAATCAGCAATACAAGAGCCCAAATAATGAGTGGTACACGTCCTTCGGGTTCGTCAATACAGTGTGGCATGCCACCAACAATAACAAAGCCCTCTTCGAATTATTAAGCGCCCTACAGTAAGCCTGCGCCCATGCAGCACCTACCCCGTCTCACCTCGAAAACTCAAGGGCACGGTGAGCCGCAGGGAAAAGGAAGCAATCGGGCTCAGGGGTTAGGAGCCAGGCTTTAGTGTTTCGGATTTAACATCTAGGTTTGTATTTACTGTTTGAGGCTTTGGAGTATGCGGTAGACGACCCTGCTCATGCTCTAGAACATGAACTTCTGCTGTCGTGCGCCACATGACTTACTGCGTGGCACCCAGGTCTTGCACCCGAGTTCCAACCCTAAACCCTAAACCCGGTTCAAAAAAAAAACCTGAGCCCTAAAAAGCTCCTTTGCCGAGTCCTGGACTCATTTGCCTAGGTAACCTTCAACCCTTTTGGGGTACTAAGAAGGGTTTAGGGTTTAGGGTAGACTCGTTTGCCTAGGAAACCTTCAACCTTTTTGGGGTACTATAAACCCTAGACTCATTTGCTTGGGTAACCTTCAACCCGTTTGGGGTACTATAAGAGCCCCTACAATATAATCCCAAAGGTAAACATTAGCTTCCCCTCGGCTACTGGGCAATTTAGTTTGTAAGGAGGAGGACGACACCCCTTGCAATCGGTTTCTCCTGGAAGAGCTTGCAAAGCGTAAGAACCCTGTGCTCGAGGCCCCAGGACTAGGGGTTTTGGATTTTGGGTCCCTCATATAGTACGGCACCTAATATTTAGGGTACCCCAACAGGAGCCCTAATTTTGACAACCCAACCACCCAAAATAAGTAGCACTGCTCATTATAGTATAATTATTATAAGGAAACCCCAAAATTCTAAATAGTATAGGCAATCCGGGTTCCATTTTGTTTTTCGGGTTTAGGCCTCTTTTCCACCAGCGACACGTCGCCTTTGGCACTTTGAATGTTGAGGATCGCTGGGGGCCTCGCGGCGCCCCTGACATCCTACAATCCCCGGTAACTAGTAACCCAGAGAGCCCAATACCCCTTAATTAAGGAATATACCGTAAATTATAAGTGGGGATTCATATTAATGATTTCAGCTATAGTCTTTCATTAAGGGGTATTGGGCTCTCTGGCAACACGAGTCTGCGACCTAGACATCCACAATCAAGGCCTATGGCCTATGCGGATAGATAAGTTGAGCACAAACCCGAACGCAACGGTTTAGGCTTTAGGGTTTTCATTCTCTTGTTGATGTTTATGGGAGAACCCCGAATGACCTCGAAACCCTGCAGAGCTCCGAATATAGGGGCCTAACTAGTTACCTCTACTCTTTTGGGGTTCCTTTTTATAAGTGTGGTATAATATACCCCAAAACCCTATTCTAATTATTAGGGCCCCTATACTAAGTCCTTATAGTCGCCCTTATAGTAGCGCCTATAAGCCCCTTTTGAAGGAACCCTCTTCTAATTCTCAGGGCCCCTGTACCCAGAGACTCCATTTCCCCCTTGATTACGGAAGATTCCTTAAATCATATTCGGGATCCTACTATGATTTAAGGTATATTCCGAAATTAAGGGATATTGGAGTCCCTGGGTACGTACATCCTGACTCCAAGGGTAAAAGGAGGGCACCTTAATGCAGACCCCTAGGTTTACACCCTTAATTTAGCTATTATTTACCCATCCTTTTGAATCGGAAACTCCCTAAACCCTAAACCCTTTATAGAACCCTGGTAAGCCTTATAGATCCCTTTAAGGAACCCTTAAACGATCCCTTTAAGGGTCCCTCCTTTTCCCTTTTGACTGACAGGATCCTGGAGGTGGAGGTGGAGGAGCCACCGCTCCGCCTTTCCACGGACCAGCCCGGAGCTTACTTAACGAAGGGGCCTTAAAAAACATCATAGGGTCTGTGGTATATTAATAATTTTCATAAGGTTTGGGGTGTATTAATGATATTCATAGGCTTTGGGGTATATTAATCATGTTCATAGGATTTGGGGTATATTAAACAAATAATCATGATATGGAATCCCAAGACCCATTCTAATGATTAAGGCCCCTGCCTTAAAGGATCAGGAAACCTGGTAAGTGGGGTTCTGCAAGGGTGTCTGTACGGGTTTCTACGAGGGTTTCTGCAAGTGTTACTATAAGGGCTTCTATAAGGGTTTCTACTTGCTACGAATGTTGCTCAAGCAGCGTTGTGATTAGATAGGAAGCTACGCAGAAGTGTAGTAACCGTCTGAAGTATGACACTAGGACCTAGAGTAGGCCCTTATTCCACTTTTTCAGGGTTCAGGTTCCCTTATAAGCCGCTTTAAACCAAAAGGGGCACTCTCTTTATTGCTAGGTTACTCTTGGGTCTAGGAGAGCTCTGGGAGCATTCGGCAGAAGACCGCGACTACCTCCAGCCCCCCCTCCGTAAAGAAACATGGTTACCTGTTTAGTCAAGGAAGTGTAGAGGGGACTACTGTTTGGGGCTGTAGCATTCTGGGGCTTTACCGGAATCGGATTTTAAGGCAAATTTGGCACGAGAGAAGTAGGATAACTATTGTTATAACCGATATTGCAGGACAAGCGACCCCACTTGACTCATAAATACCCGTGAACCTCC